TTCGTTTGTTTTTTCTTTTAACACTCTCCTTCTTCTCTTCCTTTCTTGACTTTTTCTTCTTTGTTTATTCTCTCATTTTCATCTTTCTTCTCATGTTTATTCCAACTAGTTTTTTTCTCTCCTTCTCTCTCTTTTTCCCTCATTTATTCTTCCTTCTCCTTCTTTCCTTTCATCCTCTTCTCTTCTTTTTCCTCCTCCTTTCATTTCTTCTGTCACTTTTTCCTCCCTCATCTCTAATCCTCGGCTCATTGCTTTTCCTCCTGTTTTTCCTCTCCCTCTCTCTCTCTCTGTCTGACACTACACCTCTCTTTCCTTCACATCCTCCTCCCTCTTTTTCCCTTTTCATGCCCCCCCCCCTCATTATTCGGTATAATCGGTTGTCTAGACAGCGACTCCCCACACAGATCACACCTGAGAGAGCGCAATGGAGGGAGCAGAGAAAAAAGAGCAAGAAGGAAATGAGACAGAAGAAGAGAGAGAGAGAGAAGAGGTGATAAAATGATTTTCCTTTGTTTTCCTCCCTGAAATTCTCCAATCATCCGGGGGGGGGGGGCGGGGGGGGGTGAAAGAAACAGGGAGGGAGGGAAGAAATGAGTAATAAGAGACTGAAGGGTGTAAAACACACACACACACACACACGGAGAAACTGAAACTGCAGTCAATATCCAATATATTCATTAGTTTTGCTCACTACAGTCCAGACGGGTTGATTTTCTGGTGTGTGTGTGTGTGTGTGTGTGTGTGTGCGTGTGTGTGTGTGTGTGTGTGTGTGTGCGCGCATGAAATTAATCTTTACCTGCACCTGTAAATTTAACATTAAAGGAGCTGTATGTAAGTTTAGCTATTGCTACATGGCTAACATTAGCATTAGCAGCTGTTTACTTACCAGTCTAGAAGAAACGTTGTGAGCTCAGCATCAAACGTCATTCCTTTACTCACCAACATCTGTCTCCAGAGGTGGAAACAAACATCAGTGTTAACGCTAATGAAGTTAGCATGCTAACCAGCTAGCCCCGGCACGTCTCATCACTTTTCACCTTTCCGTCACAGTTTTGTACAAAATAGAAGCGTTTTTTTTCTTCTTTTTTTTTAGGAAGGTTGACAAAACACATAGTGAATGTTGTGTGTAACATCACTACTGAGTGATGCTTTCTCCTCTCGTGATATCACTCCAACTCAACCTGTGATGGATTTCCACCATCACACAACGGAAAGACAAATCTCTTATATCTGGCAGCGCTTGTTATGTGACTACTCAAGTCATGTCATGTCATGTGACTTTAATACAGATAAAGAGTTTCCATTTCACTTTAGTGAAATATTGCTTTGTCGAATCGTCATGTGAGTGTATACCTCCATTCTTTTGGTGACATTTGAGTTTTTACGAAATTCACTCCATTACTGTTTTTATTTACTTCACAATTTCAAATTGTTCTTCTGATCCAAGAAATGTACGACTAAAAAACTCTGAAGTGAGTCTTAAATGTGGTTTTCAAAATTTCAATAACTAGACATGATGTATGCATGATTATTGTTATTGTGATCACTATATACAGTGGTATGAAAAAGTTTAGGCCCCCCTCTGAGGCTGCGTAATAATTTACTCCGTCTTCACAGGAAATGATCACAGTGACATGCCATTCATTTTCTAATAAAAGCTGAGTACTGGGGTATTTTCCAGACAAAGATTTTTAGTGTAGCAATATCAAGTTGTATGAAATCAAATCAGACGTGAAAAATAGGCTGTGCAAAAATTTGGGCACCCTTATCATTTTTTTGATTTGAATACCTGTAACTACTTAGCACTGATTAACTGGAACACAATGGTTTGGTGAGATCATTACGCCTTGAACTTCATAGACAGGTGCATCCAATCATGAGAAAAGGTATTTAAGGTGGCCATTGCAAGTTGTTCTTCTCTTTGACTCTCCTCTGAAGAGCGGCAACATGGGGGCCTCAAAACAACTCTCACATGACCTGAAAACAAAGACTGTTCAACATTATGGTTCAGGGGAAGGCTACGAAAAGCTATCTCAGAGATTTCAGCTGTCAGTTTCCACTGTGAGGAACATAGTGAGGAAATGGAAGACCACAGGCACAGTTCTTGTTCAGGCCAGAAGTGGCAGGCCAAGAAAAATATCGGAGAGGCGAAGGCGAAGGATGGTGAGAACGGTCAGAGACGACCCACAGACCACCTCCAAAGACCTACAACATCATCGTGCTGCAGATGGTGTCACTGTGCATCGTTCAACAACTCAGCGCACCTTGCACAAGGAGAAGCTGTATGGGAGAGTGATGCGGAAGAAGCCTTTTCTGCAAACACGCCACAAACAGAGTCGCTTGAGGTTTGCAAAAGCACATTTGGACAAGCCAGCTTCGTTTTGGAACAAGGTGCTGTGGACTGATGAAACAAAGATTGAGTTATTTGGTCATAACAAGGGGCGTTATGCATGGCGGCGAAAGAACACAGCATTCCAAGAAAAACACTTGCTACAGTAAAATTTGGTGCAGGTCCCATCATGCAGTGGGGCTGTGTGGCCAGTGCCGGTACTGGGAAGCTTGTTAAAGTTGAGGGTCGCATGGATTCCACTCAATATCAGCAGATTCTTGAGAATAATGTTCAAGAGTCGGTCACAAAGCTGAAGTTACGCCGGGGCTGGATATTTCAACAAGACGACGACTCAAAACACTGCTCAAAATCTACTGAGGCATTCATGCAGAGGAACAAGTACAATGTTCTGGAATGGCCATCCCAGTCCCCAGACCTGAACATCATTGAAAATCCAGGGGATGATTTGAAGCGGACTGTCCATGCTCGGCAACCATCAAACCTAACTGAACTGGAGATGTTTTGTAAAGAGGAATGGTCCAAAATACCTTCATCCAGAATCCAGACACTCATTAGAGGCTATAGGAAGCGTCTACAGGCTGGTATCTTTGCAAAAGGAGGCTCGACTGAATATCGATGTGATTTTTCTGTTGGGGTGCCCAAATTTATGCACCTGTTTAATTTTGTTTTGATGCATATTGCACATTTTCTGTTAATCCAATAAACCTCATTTCACTCCTGAAATATTGCTGTGTCCATCAGTTATTTGATTGATCAAAATGAAATTGCTGATCCAAACACCCAATGATTTATAAATGAAAATAATGGAAATTGTCAGGGGTGCCTAAACTTTTTCATACCACTGTAATGTCATATTTTAAAGGGAGGTTAGCTTGTTAAAGTCTGTTTCTCTCCTGATATAGTTTTTTGAAATTCTTTGCATAATTTGTTAAAACTAGAAAAAACTGGAGTTTTTATGTAATTTTCCAAGGACAGTTGTTGTGGACAAGCTAGCAGAGCAGTTGTAAACTAGCTTCTCCTCACTCTCATCTCTCTCCATCAGTCACATGACCCTTTCCTGTGCTAGTCGTAGCGCTCTGTTGAGTGTCTCTCCCAGCAGGTGATTAGCTTAGCTTAGCTTAGCTTAGTTTAGCGTAAAGACTGGAAACAGGAAGGAACAGAAACCCTGGCTCTTGAAAATCATCCACTGCGCCTTTAGAGCTCACCAACCTCTTTCAGAAACAGACATGTAAAAACAACAAACTGAAGTTTCTTAGAGAGAAATAAATCTGCACATACGTCACCGTGACAACAAACCTGCAGGAGTACTGCTGTTAGCTATTTACTACTGTTATAATTATTTTTGTGAGTGGGAAATGTGAACACTATGCACTACCTTTAAAAACATTCATGGAAGTTTTCATGTTTTATTTTTTTACAACATTAAAAGTAGATTTTCTTTTTAAAAACTCATTAGTGTAAAAGTGAAAACAAATGTTTTATAAAACATTCTCTGTTGACTGAACTCTCCTGTTCTTCTCTGTTCAGTCCATCGATGAATCAAAGTGATACTGTGATGACTCTGACTGTGTCATCAAGGTGGGAGCCCACAGGAGTATCTGTTGAGAGGAATCCAACATGTTCCAGAGAGGTCAATACTGCCCCCTACTGGTGTCTGAGTCCACTGACAAACATACACTCTGGTGGTGCATCAGAATTGAAGAAGATGTGAAACCAAGCCAATAACCAATAAACAGGATGTGGAATAATAATCTCAACATATGAACCTTTATACAACACTGACAATGAAAAATAGCAGAAACGTGTCAGTTTCTGCTATTGAGAGATAATTGTAAACTTGTTTGGCTAATTACCTGCTACATTGTGTATCAATACTAAAGCCAATATTAATTACTTTTAATGATATACTATGGATGTTGGGCTGGAATTTGATAATACAAAAGGCCATGATAAGTAACAATAATTAACTTTACTTAGCACCTCACAAAAAAACCCCCCCAAATTTACATGATTTTTTACATTAGAAATTCAAGATTAAATTATTTCAGGACAACAGGCAATAAAATAGAATGAAATAAAAAGAGAAACTACAACAAATAAATAAATAAATACATAAATCACATAAGAAATATTAGAAACGGAAGAACAAAACTATAGTAACAAATAAAAAGTGCACAAAAATGAATGTTGATTTTTACAAGCGACAATTTCTTAAACATTTCCTCTTATGTAATTTGGTGTTTATGGGGAAAATAAAGACATTGTTCACCTGTACAGTCATTTAATTGTTAGCCTAACCTCGGTCAGTCAGCTGAACAGGCACAATTAAATTTGCATAAAGATAATCATCAGACAATAAATCATAATAAACAAATATTTAATTGGGTTTTGAAAGAATTATAAATAAATAATTCAAAGTGTTTCTTAGTGGTACTGTTATTATTATTTTTTATTTATGTATTTATTTTGTTTGTGTGTTATGGGACATCTTTAAAAGACACATCTCACCTCTGAAAACAAGCAGTTTACCACCTTTTTACTCGCAGAACTTCGATTCAACCACCAGATGTCACTAACGTGTTTCAACGTGTCGCCTTTTATCTTTTCCGACTGACTTGTCCTTCCTGAAATAGTGTCCCCAGCTCAACTTCCTGTCCCTGTTGTGGTTCCACAACACGCGTGAATGTCGCTGTGTGAAAAACTTTGGTGCCATGGCCGCTGATAACTGTGCTGGAAACGTTTCTTTGTCTTTACGGAACCTGCTGAACTCCATCCACTGCGTCAGAGACCGAGTCAGAGGTAAATGTGACGTTAGAGACGTGACGCAGCGGGAATAGATAGCGAAGCTACACGCATGCTAGCGTGTCAAGCTAATGTTAGCATGAACTAAAGCTAGGTTTGTTTTGATGTCACCAGGGCTCGTTGTCTTTGCTATGGTTTTTTGTTCTTAATGTGAGATTCAGTGTCAAACGTTAATGTTTTTATGCTGTGGTGTTATTACCGTTCATTATTAGCTAAACTGCTAGCTTAACTGTTAGCAACATTACTATCACACTTTCCTCTGAAGTCTGTGTGACATGTGTCCGACATAAACACTCAGTGTGACAGACGAGGCTGAAGTTAGCTTCCGATTCGGTTGATTTGTAAAAACCTCTATTATATTTGTTAAAATGCAAAAAAGATGACAGAGAAATTTCATTTTTCGCCTCTAGACCGCATCGGGCCAGGTTCAGATAAAACACCACCACACTTAGACATGACAGCGTTAAAGCTTTAGCTTAAATATCTAACACATGTTCGTAACAGCTCAACACAAACTGAATCCACACCTTTTTAAACGATTTCATAAACTGTTTTTAAACTGTTTTGTTTTTAAAGTTTGAGTGAATGTCAGAGAATATGTAGTCATATATGGTCTTGTATAGTAAACAAATAAGAATCTATTTACCAGATTGAATAATCAGATTGAAATGTCTGCTTTTGTTTAATCAAATGAAATAAGTACATGTCAAATCAAGAAACTTCATCACTTGATGCATAAATCATGATATGCCCAAATTGACCTTGTAGACAATAAAAAATATTGAAAGGGATAGCTGCTACAGTGTTAACAGTGTGGTGAAATATCAGTAAACTAATTGATAGAGTTCCACATCACCCAACCCAACTGTTGTCCAGTTGGAAACAGAGCAGCACAGAAAATGCACAACATGACATCACAAGCTCATAATTAAATCAAATCAATTCCTGAGAATCAAACAATCAGAATCAGGGTTGTTGCCAGGTAGGATTTCACATACGAGGAATTTGCTCTGGTGTTTTGCTTCATCATAATAAACATAGAAGAAGAAAAGATATAAAGAAGATAAAGCAAAGCAGGTACTGCAGGTCAGGTAGTTTAAATATAAATACAAAAAATTACAATTAAATATTTACAATAAAAATGGAAAAATATAAATATGATATGATAAAATAAAATGTACAATAGTTATAGTATGAAAAAACAGCACAAAACCCCACTGAAGTTAATATACAGACAATTACATAATACATACAAAAGCCATATTTGGCCCAGGTCTTGAATGTGTGAATTTGCTTCATTTCTCCTTTTTAAATCTCTGCAAACTGAATATTTTTGGAGTTTAGACTGTTGATCAGACAAAGTAAGACCTTTGAATACTTACTGTGACTCTGATGGACATTCCTCACTGTTTTGACATTTTACAGACTGATGTTGTTATTTCACACCAAATAATTTGTCAAATTTATTAATTATTTGTTGTTGAATAACAACATCAGCTGCAGAAAGCTCTGGGTGGTACTATGATGTTGTTACTGATGTTTCTTTATTCAAATTAAAATGATCAAAGTGAAATTGTTGAAGCCTTATTGATTATTTGACTAATTATTTCAGCTCTTGTTAGTTAATAAGAAACTCTGAGACGTGGCTTTATGATTTTTTGGATATAAATTTCTTCTCATGTCAGTCATTTAACAGAATTAGTCGTGAAGGGAAAGAGGTTTCGTTTCTGTTTCACTCTGACTCTGAGGAGTTTTCTAACCAATGTCTCGTTTCCCACCACAGATGGAGAGTCCAATGAGTCAGATGGAGCGTTCAACCTCTCCAACTTCTGGGACACTCTGAGTTGAGTTCAGTTTGTCATAACCCCCAACTCAAGATTTCTGTTTCTTGATGAAAAACTTTTCACAAACATTTTTTTAATATATCGGATCCCTCCTTAGATTTATTACCACCTATTCATTGTCCTGTTTCATGCACAAAGACATGAAATCATCATGAAATTTGAATGTGACGTAAGTGTCTCCTCTGTCCTCAGACCAGGCAGTGAAGGCCGTGTCTCAGGAAGCCACTAAACTCAGCCTGGCCTTCTCCAAACCTCCGCTGCCGTCACAGCAGGTCAGATTATTAAATAATGGTAAATACACATTGAACAGGTAGAAGCAAACAGCTGATCTACACACACCGGGTCCGCACCTGATAGTTAAAGAGTGTGAAACATTAAGAGAACTGATGTTCACCCCCCCCCCCCCCCCCCGATCATTTCAGCGCCAGAAAGTAAAGAAACCATCTTCTGTTTTAATTGTGACGTCTTTGTTTCTCTCCTCTGTCCTCTGCAGGATGGAGAGAAGTTGTCAGAGTCCATGATGAAGAGTGTCCTCACCCTGTCCACAGTCTATTACTGGCTACCTAAGAGCCAAGGTAACACCCTGTCACCACGAGGGCTGGATCAGCTCTGATCTCCTGATTTCATTCACTAAGATTCAGTTACAGCAGTTAAAAACTAAGAATCACATTTTATCTTGGGAACTTCAACTTTTTGTACACGCACCAAGTGAACACTCACCTGGAATATGAAATTATCTTTTTTTTGTGTGTGTGAAGCAAGATAAAGACAAAGAAAGTGATAACATAACAAGACGTAACATGACATAAGCTAGCACAAAAGATAACATAATTTAAGAATGTAAAAAGATAACAACATAAGATGTGACTTAAGGTAACGCAGCATACGATAACGCAAAAAGATAATATAAGAACATTAAGAGATAACATAAGATAACATAGTATAAGATAATGTAAAAAGATAACAACATAAGATAACATAGCATAACGTAACATAAGATAAGATAACTTAGCGTAAGATAATGTTGCGTAAGATAACGTATATATGTGGATATATAGAGAAATAGAGAAAAATTATAAAAAATATTATAAAATAATATTAAAAAATATGTCCAGTATTTATTGATTGATTTTTATTTCCTTTATTTATTTATTTAATTTTCTCCTTTCCTTCTTCCCAGACAGAAAACAGGTACTTTGGGGAAGATGGAAAAAGAAATGATCTGAAATTCACATTAGCAGCTAAATTAGCTGAACACATTTCTTGGTCATAAAACTGTGGAACAAGGATTGGTTTTCCTGGTCAGAAGCAAAATTACAAAAACATGACGCATCTCTAGTTTCTGAGGCCGACATGAAAAAAGCAGCACCACTCAGTCGTCGTCATCATTATATGTGAACAGACGGGGATCAGGTCTTTGTCGGAGTCTTGACCTCGGCTTGTGTTTCTGTCTCAGGCATCAGTCTGAGGCGGCACGTCAGAGACGCCACCGTCGAGGTTCTGGAGGGAGTTTCACAGCTGGTGGAGGTGATACTGAACTCACCCCTGCAGAGGTACAATCACAATCATACAGTCACACAACTATACAGTCAGACAAACAACAGTCACACAACCACACAATCATACAGTCATACAATCGTTATTCAGAGAGTTAATGTAAGATATCATAAGTTGTAGTTCATATTTTCCCCAAACACATCAGAGACTGCACCAATCTGTCCATGTTCAAGTCCCTAATCAAAACTCACCCTCTCAGAACTGCTGTATGTGAACTAGTATGTTTCTGTGATTTTGTGTACTATGAAAAGCGCTATATAAATAAAATGTATTATTATTATAATGGTGATGTTGTTATGTGATGTACTTCATCAGTGCTGTTAAAAACTTACTGTTAAACCACTACTACTAACTAAACTGCTTGACTTAAATGATAACCTTGGTTTTGATGTTAGAAAGTTCGGTTGTCATGTGTAACGCTAACACAACACAGTAGCGTTACGCTTTGTTCGTACAGTACTGATAAAAAATATTCGTCCCCTTTGAAGTTATATAAGTTTTATTGTTTCACAGCTTTGAATTAAAGTAAATTTAAAGAGTCTTAATTAACATTGATCATTACGGTGAGTTGTTGTTTGTTAGAAATTAATACATATGTATAAAAAATATAAATTCCGCAAAAAAAGGCCTTTCAGGACTTCTTTAGATCAAAGACAATGTCAACGTGAAAACATGTGAACAGACAAATTAATTACATTTACAAAATACATATTTGTAATTATTAACCCACTGTAATATGACACACCTGAACCATCACAGCTGTAGAAGATGCATCTACTGAGTCCTGAATACATTTTGTGTATTTTATATTTGTGATAAATTTAGATAATTATTCTTTTATTTATTGTTTGTTTATTTATTTATTTATTTATTTATTATTATTTCCTCTCACTTCCTCTGTTTTCTTTTCATCCTCCTCCCCCTTCTCCCCCTCCTCTCATCCCGCTTTTCCCCCCTCAGTCTGAGCCAGGAACAGCTGACATCAACAGGAAGTGTGTGGTCAGCCTGCGACCAGTTCGCCCAGTTACCACAAGGTCAGTGACTGGATTAAAAAGACGAGTTAGATAAACTCAGATTTGTCCAGCACCAACACACCTGCAACTACCAGCTGTAGTTCTGACCTCAGCCCGCAGGTGGAGCTGTAGTTCTGACCTCAGCCCGCAGGTGGAGCTGTAGTTCTGAAAGTCAAACCAAGTAAATCTGTTTGTTTGTGACTTCTTGTTACTTTGGACTTTTTTTATTAAAACCAGGAGTCAACAGTTCACGTCTGAACACGTCACTGACATGTCAGACATGTGAACCTTCAATAATCAGTTGTTTTGTTTTTGTTCATTTGCACATCAGATTTCATGCATTGAAAAATACAGTAACTAAACAGTAATTTTCAACAGTACAGGAACAAAAATATAAAAAACTAATCTTAAAGACAATAATATTACAGTAAATGAGAAAAAGATGATTCCAGAAGTCCGATTAAAAACCTTTAAGGTCTTTAATTTAAAGAAAGTCACATTAAAGCTCCATCTTTTCTTCTTCTTCTGTGTTTTATTTGAAGTGTTGATCCATCAGAAGATATAAAAACCATCTCAGTGTAGTTTTACATCTCCTCTCTCAGGCTTCTCTCTGGAGCTCTAGTAACAACAGGTCGGTGAGCCAATCAGAAGAGAGGAGGCTCTGAGCCTCTCTTCTGATTGGCTGACTGTTTTCTGACTGATCCAATAGAAATAAAGCAGATTTCAGGTAAAAACACTCAGAGAAACCAAATCCTGCGAGGTTTGGATGGTTTTATTAGGTAATATATTAGATTATTAGGTTTCATTATTTTTGTTCTAATTAAAATATAAAGTTTGTTGCTGTTGTTTGTTCCATTATCATTTTAAAACAAATGTCTCTAAGTTTCTGTTTGTTGAAGCGACTGAAGTTTAAAGACATGAAGAAGAAGAAATCAGCATTTTACAGTTTTGAGTTTTTTGATTAACAATTGATTAGTTGGAAAAATAATATCAGTATAATTAAATATGAAAATAATATTTATTTGCAGCTCTACTGCACAAAAGCTGCTTTTAAAGGTGGAATCATTAACGATGTAAATGAGGTTGTGGACATGTTGATCATACAGGATGTACAGTATGTATGTTCAGTGATCAATCACCAGCTCCTTCAGACTGCAGGTTTGTGCTTCCTGTTGATTGACAGGTTTATTGATTAGTCGTGTCTGTTGACAGATAATAAAGCTGCTGTGCTGCTGGTTCTGTCTGCTCAGATCGGAGTGGTGAAAGACGCCATCGAGGAAATTGAACAGGTGTGCGCGCACACACACACACACACACACACACACACATACTGACCCCCCCCTCCCCCCTCCCCCCAGGCCTTATCTGAGGCCCAGGACCCATTCAGTGACGTCCTCGACGACGACCAAGACGGGGACGAGCCTCGAGGCAACCAGGACACGTACTGGTCAGACAAGGACCGGCGTGTGATTGGTCCGTGCCAGGGTCTGATGAAGGCGTCTGCAGCATGCCTCAGGAAGCTGGTATCAGCGATCAAAGCCAACGGCAACGTTACTACGCCTCAGAACCTGTCCCAGCTCGATGACCTGGCTGACATTAGCAAGGAAATCAGCCCAGGGTAGGAACACACACACACACACACACACACACTTTGTTTTTGCTGAACCTGTTTCCACAGTTTAATTTTCAAATATCAAGTCTGATTAAAAAAAAAAAAACCTTGTCCCGTTGTCTCGGGTACACGGCGCCATGTTCATTCCAAAAATAGCTCTAACTTTAATTTTAGCTTTAGCTTTAATTTTAGTTTTACCTTTAACTTTAGCTTTAGCTTAAACTTTAGCTTTAACTTTAACTTTAACTTTAGCTTTTACTTTAACTTTAGCTTAAACTTTAGCTTAAACTTTAGCTTTAACTTTAGCTTTAGCTTTAACTTTAACTTTAGCTTTAACTTTAATTTTAACTTTAGCTTTTACTTTAACTTTAGTTTTAACTTTAACTTTAGCTTTAGCTTAAACTTTAGCTTTAACTTTAGCTTTAATTTTAATTTTAGTTTTAACTCTAACTTTAGCTTTAGCTCTAACTTTAATTTTAGTTTTAATGTTAACTTTAGCTTAAACTTTAATTTTAGTTTTAACTTTAACTTTAGCTTTAGCTTAAACTTTAGCTTTAACTTTAGCTTTAATTTTAATTTTAGTTTTAACTTTAGCTTTAGCTCTAACTTTAATTTTAGTTTTAACTTTAATTTTAACTTTAGCTTTAATTTTAGTTTTAACGTTAACTTTAGCTTTAGCTTAAACTTTAATTTTAGTTTTAACTTTAACTTTAGCTTTAACTTTAACTTTAACTTTAGCTTTAACTTTAATTTTAGTTTTGACTTTAACTTTAGCTTAAATTTTAGCTTTAGCTTAAACTTTAGCTTTAACTTTAGCTTTAACTTTAATTTTAGTTTTAACTTTAACTTTAGCTTAAATTTAAGCTTTAGCTTAAACTTTAGCTTTAACTTAAGCTTTAATTTTAGTTTTAACTTTATCTTTAGCTCTAACTTTAACTTTAGCTTTAGCTCTAACTTTAATTTTAGTTTTAACTTTAACTTTAACTTTAGCTTTAATTTTAGTTTTAACGTTAACTTTAGCTTTAGCTTAATTTTAGTTTTAGCTTTAACTTTAGCTTTAGCTTTAGCTTAAACTTTACTTTTAACTTTAACTTTAGCTTTAACTTTAATTTTAGTTTTAACTTTAACTTTAGCTTTAGTTTTAGCTTAAACTTTAGCTTTAACTTTAGCTTTAACTTTAATTTTAGTTTTAACTTTAACTTTAGCTTTAGCTTAAACTTGAGCTTAAACTTTAGCTTTATCTTAAACTTTAGCTTTAACTTTAATTTTAGTTTTAACGTTAACTTTAGCTTTAGCTTAAACTTTAATTTTAGTTTTAGCTTTAACTTTAGCTTTAGCTTTAGCTTAAACTTTAGCTTTAACTTTAGCTTTAACTTTAATTTTAGTTTTAACTTTAACTTTAGCTTTAGCTTAAACTTTAGCTTTAACTTAAGCTTTAATTTTAATTTTAGTTTTAACTTTATCTTTAGCTCTAACTTTAACTTTATCTTTAGCTCTAACTTTAATTTTAGTTTTAACTTTAACTTTAGCTTTAATTTTAGTTTTAACGTTAACTTTAGCTTTAGCTTAAACTTTAATTTTAGTTTTAGCTTTAACTTTAGCTTTAGCTTTAGCTTAAACTTTAGCTTTAACTTTAACTTTAGCTTTAACTTTAATTTTAGTTTTAACTTTAACTTTAGCTTTAGTTTTAGCTTAAACTTTAGCTTTAACTTTAGCTTTAACTTTAATTTTAGTTTTAACTTTAACTTTAGCTTTAGCTTAAACTTGAGCTTAAACTTTAGCTTTATCTTAAACTTTAGCTTTAACTTTAATTTTAGTTTTAACTTTAACTTTAGCTTTAGCTTTAACTTGAGCTTAAACTTTAGCTTTATCTTAAACTTTAGCTTTAACTTTAACTTTAATTTTAGTTTCAACTTTCACTTTAGCTTTAGCTCTAACTTTAATTTTAGCTTTAGCTTTATCTTTAGCTTTAACTTTAGACGTAACTTTAACTTTAGCTTTAAGTTTAACTTTAATATTAAGTTTAGCTTTAACTTGAGCTTTAGCTCAGTCAGCTTATTTTATCTAAATCAGTTTTCACACTGAGTTTCTGAATGAACTCAGACATGAAAAAAAGATGTTTCTGTTCTCCTCAGTGTTGATGATCTGGCTCTGTGTCTGTACCCGCCCATGGACTACAGTGGGGTGGAGAGCAACGTAAGACACACACACACACACACACACACACACACTTTCATTAGTCAGTGTCAGAGCCATTTCCATATTTTGTTGGAGTGCGTCTAACTGAGCAGCTCCCCCTGATTTAACATGAATCCTTTTTTATTAGTGTCTTCCCGCATTATTTTTATTGATTGATAAATTATGGGGTGGGAAGGGTCATGTGACCATTGTCTTTTTCTAATAGAGCAGCTGATGATCTCACTATCAAACTGCTTAATGATGAAATCAATAATGATTAATATTTTATAAACTTCTGGTTTGTTGTAATTCATTTCGTTTCCTGGTCCATTGAAGCTGCTCAAACTGGTCTCAGGTGAATCAGCTCAGACTAGTTCGTCTCTGATGATGAAAGAGTGAAATTGTGAAACGATTCAGGTAAACTGAGTGAAGGAAATAATCGACACACGAAACAGCGTGATGACATCAAGTACGCAACAAACATCACAGGCTGTGACTAAAAACAGGTTTCAGACCCTGAAGTCAGCATAATATCATATCAGCAAATATCTGAAATAAAACCACTGACTGTGATTTTACAGCCAAAAAATGATTAAAAGATCCTTATTTTATAAATATATATATCTCTAATTAACATAAAAACTTTACCATAAAAAGTTTCAAGGAAATTACAATAAATAATCTTCCTTAAGAAAACATCAGTGAAAATGTCTAAAACAGTGAGTTATTATGAGTTATTTAGTTATTTAGTTCTGAAGCTAATTTAGCATCTGTGGCGCTAAAGGTTTTATTCAGGAGAAAATAACTAAGAAGTGATGAAGTGTATTAATACACTTATATCACTTTATTAATGAAATATTATGTTTTAATACAGTTGATCAGTTACAGCAGCTGAAGGCAACAGAATTGTTGTTGTTGTTGTTGTTGTTGTTGTTATCAAACATGTAAATATATAAATGTTTAAAAAAAGCATGTAACTAAAGAATAAAAGCAAATAAAGGTGTGTTTCTCTACAGGTGTCTAAACTGGCAGCGCTGTTGAAGAAGGTGCTGGGGATCATCAGGTGAGATGAGCTGAGATTTGATTGCATTCATTTTGTAAATTAAACAAACGTCAAACATCCAGATGATGAGCTGACGTGGATCAGAGGCGAGTTTCCTTCCTGGGAACAGTTGTGAAAGTGAGAAAAGTGAAAACATGGGTGGTGTAGTGTGTAAATCTGTCAGATGATCTCACAGATTCACAGATAACATCAGATCGGATAAAACTGATCCCATCAGTTTCTATCACCCCCCCCCAGGTCCAGTCATGTGTGTGGGGAGTCAGAACTGACCTGGGTTCAGTTCTTAGACGGAGCCATCGATCACAACCTGCAGAAAACCAGAGACCTGATCCAGCAGGACGGATAGAGCTGCTACAGGGTGTTATGTTGTTTTATGGTTGGCTGCAGGGATGCTTGTGTGTGTGTGTGTGTGTGTGTGTGTGTGTGTGTGTGTGTGTGTGTGTGTGTGTGTGTGTGTGTGTGTGTGCGCTTGCGTTTGTGTGTGTGTCTGTGCGTGCATGTGCATGTACAACAAAACAATGGAAGGGACTCATTTTGACATGAATCATTATGTAACTGGAGTGTGTCAATAAACTCATCAACAATGTTAAATTACACACATACACGCGCACACACACACACACACACACAGCCTGCTGAGGAACTGTGTGTTTGTGTGTCATCATCCATCAACTGGATCAATTAAAATGTCAAACTGATTTCACAGAGAAGTTCCGATGAAAAATTCCAGAGAGAATCAGTTTCCGCTTGTCGTCACTGTTATGTGACGATGTCACAAGATTAAAACACAGGTGAATTATTATTTACAGAACAGGTGAGATGGAGCTTTTCTCCCGCCACAGTAGAAGAGATATTTTCACATTATTGACTGCAATGTTCGAGATCCAGAGGGAAACGATTTTGTAAAACCAGCAAAGTCAAACTTAACGAAACACTGACGGAAAAAAATGAATCACTTTTCTATTACGAGAGAAACTTTAAAAAGTGAATCTGACAAACACCGTCCAGGTGACATTAATATTCACAGCACTCTGCAGCCGTGGATGAAAATAGTTCCTGACAAATATATTATTGAGGTTTGATAAAAACTACAACTGTTTTAGGAAGCCTTAATTAGATTTAATTAAAAGTTAAAAACAAATACACAGTTATACAATAATAAACTGTTGATGTGTTAAAAGATTCTTGTCTTGAGTGGGAATGAACAGGCTGAGAGCTACAGACAGTGAACTATCATCATTATTCTTTAAGAACCAAAATGAACATTTATTTTCTATTAAATGAAATAAACATTTTCATCAGCAGCTCCGGAGATTTCTTCTCATGCAAGAACAAGATTTTTCTGTGTCCATCAGAAACCACTTTAAAAGTTTTTCAATGTACTGTAAAGTTGTGATTTAAGTCTCTGCATGTGTTCGGAGACATGATGGTATTCATCCTGTTGTTTAGAGTGATCTGATTGGCAGAAGGCCTCTTGACCGTTTATCTCTCTCTGGGTGTAACCTGATTGTCTGATCATATCCGAAGTGTTGAGGGTGTGATCTGTGTCACTGTCTCTCTGCCGTTGACCTCGAGGCCTGAAACCTCCAGTGTCTCAATCTGAGAAAATTCATGTGGAGCCACAGTGCGCAACGCTTACTTCCTGCTCTTGAGTCACATTTAATCACAACTGAAAACATCCCCACCTAACCACCGTCACACACCTGTACACTTTTGCAACACAGGTAACTGTCACATTATAATGACACAAACATGACGACATTAACAAAAGGAACCACTGCATAACATCATCTCCCATCAGTAATGATGGCAGATTTAATGAGACATGTTTTATGATTCAAGGAGGAGGCGATCCAATTGTACAAATCACAAACATAACAAAAAGCTACATGTTATTGTTATTATGACTATCATTATCATTATTAGTATTAAATGCTTCATTTCCTGGACAAAGAGTACATGGGGTCATGACAAGCTGGAACACACTGGAAATGAAAGGGCACGCTATCAGCTAGCTAACATTAGTTTATTAAACTTAATTTAAGGCTAAAGGTAGAAACTAGCTAACATTAGTTAGCTAAACCTAAGGCTGAGGTTAAAAACTAGCTATCATTAGTTAGCTAAAATGTAATTTAAGGCTAAAGTTAGAAGCTAGCTAACATTAGCATATATCTGTAGATACCTGACACAATCTACCACTGCTACTTGCATTTAGCTACAGTGTCTGTGTGACACACAGGAGCAGCTAATGTATGAAGATGAAAAGAAAATGATCATATAGTCACATATTCTGCAGCCAAACATGTTGTAATCAGATTAAACTCTAACCAGGATGTATTAGCAGTACAGGCATCGGCTCATTAATAGTTTTGACTGTTAAATGTGTGACAGGGAACCAAACCCACGGTACACTCCCTGCTCAGCACCAACCAGCACACATTCAGATTCCATGGCAGTGAATCCATAGTTAGATAATTAGTAAGTATACAAGTATAATTGAGGAGAAATGGTGTGACCGCAACAATGTTCTTTAAATAAACTGGAGCAGAACTGTAATCGTGCCTGTAAATGATTTTCCATGCACACCCACATTTCATTTCATTGTTGGAGTTTAAATGTCTGGAGTCTTTTGGTCATTCATGACCGTCGGACGGTTAAAGTCTGTCTGTGTTTCCAGTGAACAACAATTAAAATAAATCACAAAATACATTACAACATAAAAATTACAACAAACTGACATCTGTCTGCAACTTCAAAGCATGTGTGTGCATCTGTGTCATGCGCGCACACACACACACACACACACACACACACAGAAACCTCGACCCAAATCCACCCAATAATTAATGACACAAATGTCTTAATTTAAGTGTCTGTGTGTCATTTCACGCAGTCATTTCATAATTATCTGCTGTGTCGGTAAATCCTGCCCTGACTTCTGCAGAAGTGAATTACATGTAGCAGCTCGTGTTTGTTGGAATATCTGTAGTTCTGTTGAGTATCTAGGGTTCTGTTGAGTATCTAGGGTTCTGTTGAGTATCTATCATTCTGTTGAGTATCTAGGGTTCTGTTGAATATCTCGGGTTCTGTTGCCGTATCTAGGGTTCTGTTCCAGTATCTAGGGTTCTGTTCCAGTATCTAGGGTTCTGCTGGAGAACTCCAGTAGCACAGGGAAGCCAGGATCTAAATGCAGATGTGACAGAAGGAATAGACTAATTGTGACAAAACAAACTTCAAATGTAACAGGAAGGTTCTGAAGGTTCTGTACAGAGCAAACAGGAAATAATAAATATGCTGTATTGTAAAACTCATGTTTTATAATGACCTGTATATATATACTACATAATAATATGTATAATACTGTGCAATAACAGGGCCAATAGTTTACAGTCACATGTGGTGTTGAGTGAAATCAGCAGGAAGTGGAACTGTCCAGGTCGTCAGACACGTTCCACCTGAATCTGGAAAGGGGGCGTGGCTGGCTGATGCTATAAAATCCACCAGCGCTGGGTCACCTGTCAGTGAGCAGCTGAGAACTGACCAGAGAACATTCCACTGATTCTACATCTACAGCTGAGAGCAAACCGTCTGCAGAGATGTCTTTATCTGGTGAGTGAACTTTATTTGTTATTGTTCCCTTCAGCGTCAGATCTCTGCAGCCGCTGACACGTTCCTTGTTTTCACACCTACTGATGCAAAACAAGAAGAAAAAATATAAAGAAAGACAAAGGAAAACTGCTGCAGGTCAAAAAGCTTGAATACAAATAATAATAATGAAATATTTACAATAACAATGTGAAAGAAATGAAAAATATAAATAAAAGTAAAATAAAGAAAATACATCAGAGACATTAATTCAAAGGACGCATTCAGGTTCTGAAGGTTTCTCTGTAAATCTCATTACATGTAGGAAAAATGGTCACAAGATAATTGATACATTTTTCATTTAATTAGTTAAGTTCGATTTCAAGGATCAATAAAGCTAAAAAACACAAACAAACTTTAATAATAATAAAACATTTTATTTATAGACACCTTTCCAGACACTCAAAGACACAGTAAAAGATAAAATGCAAAATCAATTAGAATAAATGTAATTGCATAATAATGAATATGATTAAATGCTGGATGATGTTTGCGATGATGTTTATGACGGAGCTTCATCCTGCTGCTTCCTGTTGCTCATTACGTTCTGCAGCGTCGCTCAGCTGCTGCATCAGGTTCTGATCTCTGAGGATCTGTTTCTGACGTGGACCTGATCTCCAGCCTGGGTCTGATCTGTGCCCAGACCTGGACTCATTTCGTCATTTCATACAAACAAAACTAAACTATGTGTTTCGTGGAGGATGAACGGATCAATCAAAGACAGATGTTAAAAGTATGAAGATTAAAAACAAAGAAGAGACAAAAGACAAAAGAAACCAGAGAAAAAAACAGTTTAATTGAAGTGTGTGTGTCGTATGAGGAGCTGGATCTCTTTATCAGTATTTAAATCATCATCATCAACCTTTATTTATTCATCATTGAGGCCGACCCTCAGAGAAAACAATCAGAAATACAAACATTCAGAAACATTATGATTTCAGAGATTTAAAATCACATTTCTAAACTGTTCCAGTGTTTTCAGGGAATCTGAATTTTAAGTGTGTTGTATGTTATTCCATGAGTCTGAAGCACAACATCCAAAAAACTAAATAAATGACAGTGTTCCTGCAGCATGTTTGGAATCTGTCCATTTCCTAATCGATCACAAACAGATAAATCAATGTGACAAAAAACAAAAAAAGAATAAAATTAAACAACACAATAAATAAAAGGAAAAAATATAAAAATAAGTTAAATAATTACAAATAGATAAATAAATAGACGACGCCTCGACCTTCAGCTGGATCCTTCTCTCTGTGCAGCGAATCCTCTCAGACAGGTGGAGCTCAACCCGAACTCATCAGCCCGGAGGCCGTGTTTACGTTTGGAGGGTGGACGTTCTCAAGAGAACCTGAAGTGGAGGAACAGACTCTGTTGTGTCTGTTCTGTCTCGCCCCAGTGACACAGATTTGTTCTCCACATCAGCGGTGTTTATTTTCTCACCGCGCCCTCCTGGGCTTCTGCCAGCGTTACAGCGCCATCACCTGCAACACGCGCAGCCTGTTCGCTCCTGAAACCGGCTTCTGTATCTTTTTCTCTTGTTCACACATTTTGGACATGAAAGAATCAAAACTTCAACCTGTTAATAAATCCCTCTCAGACATTTATATCAGTGTGTTTATTGAAAAGAGTTTTTGAGTGACCTGTGACACTGAGCGTGAACGTGTTTGTGTCTTCACCTCCCTCAGTCCTGAAGGCCGTGGACCTCCACAGTCAAACCAACAACACTGAACATCACACCAGTGAAATCTCAGTGGATCAGCTGATCGTGAGACGAGGTCAGCCCTTCACCGTGACCCTCCACCTGACCCAGGCTTTCAACCATGACCTTCATCACCTGAACTTCACCGCAGAGACCGGTCAGTCTTTCACTTTGAATATTTTCTTTTCAGACCACCTTGACATTTTTGCTGCTTTACAAAACCAGAACGCAGCGACTAAATGTCTGACTTCCTGTTTCATCATATAAAACTGATGATGCCTTAAAAAAATGTCTGACTTCTGTAAAAGCAGCTTTTAAAACTTTCACACAGTTAAACAGGAGAGATAAATCAAGCTAACGAAAAGGAAGCCACGGCTAGCATTAGCTTAGCTAGCTAAGAAAAAAAGATGGTAACATGAAAGAGACATGCATTTTAAGTTATTTTTGAGACAGAGAGAGAGACAGAGAGACACAGAGAGAGAGAGAGAGAGACAGACAGACAGAGAGAGACAGAGAGAGACAGAGAGAGAGACAGAGAGAGACAGAGAGAGAGAAAGAGAGAGAGAGAGAGAAGGAGGGAGAGAGAGGAAGAGATGCAGCAACGGGACACAGGTGGGTTTTTATAAACACTTCATATAAAATGCCTCTTTCTCCTTTATATAATTTATTTGTTTTTATTTGTTCATGTAATTCTTTTTTTATTTTTAACTCTGCAGCTTTTTTAACTTTGCCTGTTTTTGTTTCTACGTATTGATTTATTTGCTGAGATATATTTTCTATACATGATAGAAGATACGATAAGAGTGTTGTCCCTCTCCGCAGGTGAATTTCCATCTGAGGACCAGGGGACCAAGTCCTGCTTCGCCGTCCCGGACAACGTGCGACGTTCCTCGTCAGCGAAGGCGGTGTGGAGGGTGGAGCTTAAGAAGAGCTACCCACAGACGGCCATAGCTCTTACCATCACCCCCCCGTCTGACACCCCCATAGGACAGTACAAGCTGTCTGTGAGCAACAGGCACGGAGAGTCGCTGCCGGTGACGCTGACGGTTCTCTTCAACCCCTGGTGTCCAGGTACATCGCCTGTTTACCTGGGACTGCTGTGACATCACTGTCTGTTACTTCTCATGCTTTAAAAACATGTTGCTGATGACCTTTGACCTCAGTCAGACCTTGACTCTCTCTCCTGCAGACGACTGGGTGTTTCTGCCTGATGAGCGGGAACGTCAGGAGTACGTGATGAACGAACAGGGAATCATCTACAGAGGAAGTGGAAGATACATATCCCCTTGTTACTGGGACTATGCACAGGTACACACACACACACACACACACACACACACACACACACACAGAGACACACACGGGTACACACACACACAGAGACACACACACACACACACACACACACACACACACAGAGACACACACACACACACACAGAGACACACACACACACACACACACACACACACACGGGTACACACACACACACACACCAAATAATTTAAAATTTAAGATTTTAAAATCTCGTTAATCCAGGAAAACAAAAAAATGAACTCTTCAAAAAAAAAAGATCTCGTTAATTCAGAAAAAAGAGGATTTTTTTTGAGAAAAGTTTATAGTAAAAATAATTATAGTAAATAAAAAATCTCATTAATTCAGAAATGTTTTCTTAAAAAAGAAAAAGAAAAACTCTCAATGCTTTAAATTTTACATATTAGATATTCAGTGGTTATCAGCTGCTCTCATGCAGGACATCTTGAAGTTTCAGTTGTGGTTAAACGTCACGGTATTGATCAGTGTCTACGTTCCAGTTTGAGGACGACATGGTGAAGATCTGTATGAAGATGCTGGACGTGAACCGTAAACACTTGTGGGACCCAGCTGATGATGTCGCCGCTCGCTGTAACCCCATCTACGTCGGGCGTGTAGTCAGCGCCATGGTAGGTCACGACCTCTGCATCTTTATCTCCAAACCTGTTTTTGTGACATAAATGAGCTGATGTTTCTGACTGTTGTGTCAAAACCAGAAGCTGCAGTTCCTCTAACGACCACTAGAGTCTGGCTCCAGCAGTGAGTCAGTCCCCATAGACTCCCATGTTAAAATGTCCAACTTTACAGCAGAAATAAACATGTTTACAGCCTGGTACAAAAACTGTTTTGGTCTCTAGAGCTAATTTCCTCCTTCATGACACCTGTTTATATAACTCACCTGTTTACATTTTATTAAGGACTAAAGTTATGGAGGATTGAGGGCGTGGCCTTTTTGAGTGACAGGTGGGTGCTGTCACAGTTAGTTAGCTGTCTGCTCGGCGTAATTCTAGTAACTAATTAGCAGTTATCAGTATCTGCGCTCATCATATACTTAGCTGGTTAACTTAGTTTGTTAACCAGCTAATTAGCCAATAAATGGATTAGCCATGGGCTAGCCTTCGAGCAAGACTCCCTGATGGCCAGCTTTCCTAACAAAGCTAATGGGAATGTGTGCTTCACACACACCCCTCTTCTTTGACCATGTTTGAATTAGCTGGGAGTTTGGGGCGGAGTCAGACACTGCCAAGATGGCGACGGTAGAGCAGCTCACTCTGAGCTTCAGAGACCTATGGGTGATGTCACAGAGGCGAAGTCCATCTTTATTTACAGTCGGTAGCAAATGTTAGCATGCTAACATGTTAAACTAAGATGATGGACGTGCTAAACAATATATCTGCGTAGCATCTGTATGTTAGCATTGTTGTTGTGAGAAGGTTAGCTTGCTTAAAATCTTTTTGGCTACTGCAAAGTTAGAAACTAATAACTGTTTATTATTTCATTCATTTTTTTCACTTTATAAAGAACCATCACATCTGAACTTATAAATATTAGTAAATCATTTGTAATGTAATAATCCAGGCTGGTTTAATAATATGTTATTGATGAATAGCTTCTACCATCAGAATGCTGAATAACTTGACACTGTTGGTCTGTTCAATTAAACTTGTTGAACTTGTGCCACAAAAGAGGAGAGGAAGAAGAAGAAGACAAAGAAGAAGAAGACAGAGATTACCCAGTTTTCAAAATATAAACAAAGACTTAACAGATATGTTTAATATCAAGGTGAATACGTCTGAGTTCACGTCTGCAACAGTAAAACGATCACATGAATCTCATTTGTCTGTTTTCTGTCAGATCAACTGCGCAGACGACCGTGGCGTCCTGCAGGGGAACTGGAGCGGCTCGTTTGCCGGCGGGGTCCCGCCCACTCACTGGAACGGCAGCCATGCCATTCTCAAAAGGTGGTACAACTCTAACTGCCGCCCGATCAAGTACGGGCAGTGCTGGGTGTTCGCCGGAGTGATGTGTTCAGGTAACGTCTGACTCTACAGCTTCTCACCTGGAACAAAACTGTTTGATATATATTCATGTTCTGTGGCTGCAGCTTCTCACGGAAAAAAAGTTTCTTTTTTAAGTTTTAATTAACATAATTAATTATGATAATTATCTCATTAATTCAGAAAAACAGATGAATTTTTTTCTCTCAAGTGAACGCCATAACGCTTCTGTCGCTTCTTCATTAAAAATCAGTAAATATTATTATTAAAATAATTCATTACACACATTATCTTTAGTTGCAGCTTCAATTAAATGTTTTGCCCTTAAAACTTTAATTTGATTGGTTGAAAACACATTTTCCATCAGTGTAAACAAAAGGAGTAAAAATGATTTTGAGAATCTGTTCCCTTCAGCCACAAACATCATGTTATAACAGCCAGATCAGAGCATGACAACAATAGAACATGTTTTAACACCTCAGGAAAACACATCATCCGACTCATCGTGTCGACGCTGATCACATGACTGAAGTCTTAATAACAGCTGCCGTTCACACACTGAGGTGTGTTTGCAGTGACGCAGCTTGGACTGACGGTTCAGAGAGAAAAGCTTTTGACTGATCGGAGTTCCTCACCTCAGCGTGTTTCATACAAGTGAAGCACAGAAGAAAAGACTGAAATTAAAAGTAATGTCATCAAAAAAATTAACTACATAACAGAGATTTACTACACGAAATAAAAGTGTAGCTTCACTTTTTATTTTCTTCTTTCTGGTTTAACTCCAAACGTTTTCTCCTGGTGGTATCTCGTTATCTCGGGATAATGAGCTTTGTTATCTTGAATTAACAGGATAAATAAGTATTTGTGAGTATGGCCTTTCTCAGCTTCCGTACCAACAGTCTCGACTTTCCCCACATATTTCTCTGACGTCGTCTCTCACCATGTGTCTATATATGAATTTGTGAATATAATTATTGTTTGTCTACTCATTTTTGTTCATTGCTATAATATTAAATAAAAAATATGAATAATAATGAAGGGAATATGAATGTCTGAATGAGTCCAAACTATGTGTGTTGCAGTGATGCGTCTGCTCGGTATCCCCTGCCGCGTCATCACCAACTTCCAGTCGGCTCACGACTGCAACCAGAACCTGCTGATCGACGTTTATCACGCCGACTACGGAGTCAGGGAGAAGAAGACCAGGGACAGTGTCTGGTGAGACACACACGCACACACACACACACGCGCACACACACACACACACACACACACACACACACACACGTAATGTTGTAGCAATCCACTTTTATTACAAGGTCATAACAATTCACTATAATCTTTACCGGTGTGATGATGGTGTGTAAAACACCGGGAGACAGCGGACGAGTGTTAACGTTGCTTTTAACTCCGGTTTGGTCTCCACCCAACACTCTCTCTCTTCAGCTGCTAACTGCTCCACTTGTGCACAACAGCTGGAGACGATGGTGAGAGCAGTGAGTATAAACAATGAGCTGAAGGGATTTAAAACTAGACCTCAGGTTTTAATCCTGTGTGTGTTTGAATCACGTCAGTCGTCATGAGGTTTTGATTGGAGCTGCACAGATCAAACAGATCCTGTGAGCTTCCTGTGTCAGTGTGTTCACGCTCGAATGCCCCAGTAAATAACTTAGCTGATATTTAAATTTTAATATGAGAGATCAGACGTGTGGTGTGATGACAGCTGATGAGTTAATAAATCACATCGACCTGTCAGCACTCGCTAACCGCAGCTGGCTTTTAACTTTACCACCCACTGAATATCCAGCATAGTTCAGGTGTGGTGACTGAGAGCTTCACCTGTCAGAGCTTCACCTGTCAGAGAGTTACTGTCTCTGATGCTTTACATTCTCTCCGCAACAATGTCGAGTGTTTGGAAACCACATGAGCCTCCAGCCAGACACTAAACACTGACTGTGACTTCAAAGGATTCATGTCTCCATCTTATATTTCTCTCTGACGTCTTACCTATCCAAAGTGACCAAGCTCTTGCAAATGGATAGTCGTGGAGTTATTTAGGGTATGTCTGTCTAGGCGAGGTGTACCCCCCCAGCATCCCTAGAGGCTTAACAGGTTAAAAAGTGACAATGGATCAATGTTGTGTCAGTTTGTTTCTGTTGCCTGCAGGTTCCTAATGATAAATGGGTTCCTGCAGAGAACAGGTTTGTTCAGAGTTCAGCTCGTTCTTGTTTCTGGGACTTTGACTCTCTGCTCTTTAAAACCAGGTTTTATGATCGACACGTTTCAGCCCTGTTGTTGTTTTATGAGTTTGTTTGCTTTAGGAGGACGCACATGATAATGATTGTAATTAAATAATTAATTATTGCAGAATTATTTGAATAGCTCACAGTAATAAAGTGTTGTACCAACATAAAAACAAAACAATAATGTGAGTGTCAATTAGTATTTACAAATACATTTATTAAAACAATGAGATCAATGAAACAGACAAAAGAAATGAAACCCAAAGTAAAAACCAAAGAGTCTGAGAGTCTGGATGTTGTTCTGTGTTGCAGGAACTTCCATGTGTGGGTGGAGGGGTGGATGAGACGTCCTGACCTGTCAGCTGATGGGAAATTCGACGGCTGGCAAGTTCTGGACCCGACGCCTCAGGAGAAGAGCGACGGTAACAAATCTGTGGTTTAACGTTTTCTCTCAGCTCTGAGAGCCTGCTTTCACACCCTGACCTCTGACCTCTGACCCCTGTCTCTGTCCCTGTCAGTGATTCCAGTGTCAAACAAACAAGTGTATAGGAAAGCATCTATATATTTGTACTAAACATCTTCTGATCTCTTTAGATTATTTGAGACATTATATAATTGTGCTGTGGAGTCTGAGAATGAAGAACCACGTCCTGAACATGAACTTCTGCAAAATGTTTTAAGTCTGATCTGATTTTTTAAATAAAACTTTTCTCTAAAGAAATCAAAAGACAAAACTGATTAATTCAGAAAAAAGAGGAGCTTACTGTCCCTGTCTGCCTGTCTGACTTTCTGTCTGTCTGTCTGTCTGTCTGTCTGTCTGTCTGTCTGTCTGACTTTCTGTCTGTCTGTCTGTCTGTCTGTCTGTCTGTCTGTCTGTCTGTCTGTCTGTCTGTCTGTCTGTCTGTCTGTCTGTCTGTCTGTCTGTCTGTCTGTCTGTCTGTCTGTCTGTCTGTCTGTCTGTCTGTCTGTCTGTCTGTCTGTCTGTCTGTCTGTCTGTCTGTCTGTCTGTCTGTCTGTCTGTCTGTCTGTCTGTCTGTCTGTCTGTCTGTCTGTCTGTCTGTCTGTCTGTCTGTCTGTCTGTCTGTCTGTCTGTCTGTCTGTCTGTCTGTCTGTCTGTCTGTCTGTCTGTCTGTCTGTCTGTCTGTCTGTCTGTCTGTCTGTCTGTCTGTCTGTCTGTCTGTCTGACTTTCTGTCTGTCTGTCTGTCTGTCTGTCTGTCTGTCTGTCTGTCTGTCTGTCTGACTTTCTGTCTGTCTGTCTGTCTGACTTTCTGTCTGTCTGTCTGTCTGTCTGCAGGTGTTTACTGCTGTGGTCCCGCCCCCCTCACCGCCATCAAGAACGGACACATGAACTCTAAATACGACCTCCCGTTTGTCTTTGCCGAGGTGAACGCTGACTGTGTGGACTGGCTGGTCAGTGAACACATCACACCCTCACACAGTTAAATACAACAGCTTAGACACGTCATTTCATTTCCTGTTTCCTGTTTCCTGTCAGGTCAAAGCTGACGGCTCCAAGGTGAAGATCTACTCTGACTCAAAGAGAGTGGGTCACAGCATCTCCACCAAGTCTGTGGGCTCCAATCACAGGAAGGACGTCACCAACAACTACAAATACAGAGAGGGTGGGTCACACACCTCAGCTGATCACACACACCTCAGCTGATCACACACACCTCAGCTGATCACACACACACCTCAGCTGTCCACACACACCTCAGCTGTCCACACACACCTCAGCTGTCCACACACTCCTCAGCTGTCCACACACACCTCAGCTGATCACACACTCCTCAGCTGTCCACACACACCTCAGCTGTCCACACACACCTCAGCTGATCACACACACCTCAGCTGATCACACACTCCTCAGCTGTCCACACACTCCTCAGCTGTCCACAGACTCCTCAGCTGTCCACACACACCTCAGCTGATCACACACACTCCTCAGCTGATCACACACACCTCAGCTGATCACACACACCTCAGCTGATCACACACTCCTCAGCTGTCCACACACACCTCAGCTGATCACACACTCCTCAGCTGTCTACACACACCTCAGCTGATCACATAGACACTGATTCAGTAGGTTTAGTCTGCTCAGGACAAAATCAGCCAATAGTATTCACATGGCGGCCATTTTCCTCTGACGTCATACTGAGGGTGGGAAGCCTTGAACACGTCAATGTCTCTGAGTAAATCCTCAGTGACAACGACAACATGGTTGAAAACATGATTTATTTACCTCACTTTCTTTTGACCACATTGATAAATAGGAAGATGAATTTTCCAGTTGTTGAAGGTAAAGACCGGCCCACACTGGAAGCACTGGAAGCTAATGCTAGGCTAGCAAACGTGAAGTTTGCAATTCACTAAAAGGTCAGTTTTAGTGCTTCTAAAGTTGTCAGTGCAAATGTTAAACATTAACTAAAATCACTGCTAACTTCACCAGGTGAGAACAGAGCAAGCAAGCTAATGCTACATTGCTAGCTTGATTTTATCAAGTGTGTTTTACTTCCAGACTGAACTAAACGTGTCTGAGATCTGTGTTTATATTTTAGAATAAATTTATTTACTGCCTCTTGTATCATGTAGCTCTATCAAACATAATGTAAGCTCAGAAGTTGTTGAATGCTAACATTAGCTGTAGCTAATTGGTTATCAATTATGTTGTTTTACCTTGAAATATGAGTTGATGTCTCTTAGGATTTTCATTATCTATTGCAGTGGTTTCCAACCTGTGGGCAGGGGCCCACTGGTGGGCCGCGAAGGTTTTGCAAGTGGGCCATCAAATCATTTGCAAAACAATTTAACAACAATTTAAACAATTTGCAAAGACAATTACTACTAATTATTAAAGATTACCACTCTGGTAAGCCCGTGTTTGATCGATATAATATCATGCTGTCAGGAGGTATTTTTCTGCTTCCATATTGTCACAGGTTGGATGTGGGCCATCAACATTTTTGAGAATTTCAAGTGGGTCATGAGTTGGAAAAGGTTGAGATACAGTGATCTGTTGTTTTTTCTGTTGCTCATTGATCAAATAGAAACGATGTGTCAGGTTCTCTATGTTTTTGTGACTGTAACCTGGAACACAGCAGTACAACATTAGTGTAGCGTCAGAGGAAAATGGCCACCGTGTGACTATGGTCTATAGAAGCTCTGTACGTATGGTTAACAGCTCTGCGGCCTGTTAGGTACAACAACAGGGGGAGCTCCACTCATTCATTCAGACACAGCTGTGAAAATCCATTGATAAAGATGTGTTGAACTCCCGGTGCCTCTGCAGATTGACTTACATCAGCCCCCCCCCTCTCTTACAGGCTCCAAGGAGGAGAGGGAGGCCTTTAATCACGCCACCACTGGAGACTTATCCAGAGACTTAATCATGCACTCATCTGCAGTCTTACCTAGCGACTCACCCACAAACGTAACTACACCAATGTCGAATGGAGGGAACCATGTGGTGGAGGAGACAGATGAAGAAAATCTTGACGTCATCCTTCCTCTGCCTGTGTCCATGAGGTTTGAGGAGGTACGATCCAGAGTTTCCCTTTACACATTCTTTATTTTGGGGCAGCAGTTTATATTACAACACACATCAGGAAAGAACTTAACTTTACTATGGCGTCCAGTTTTTCAAATTTTAATAACTTCAAGACCAGTTTGGGTGAGGTAAAGTCTGCACACAAGAACAATGGAGAGTTTGTCTGAGGGGGATCTGAAGAAAATATAATAAAATGAAATACAATTAAAGCTGCAAGCAGCATTGAGTGGGCCCTCGTAGTCCTGTGCACCTTGTGGGTTCGCAGTAGGCCGGTTAAAGCAGCCGCATATGGTAGCAATCGTCAGTCACTTTGAAATTTACTGCACTGCCACAAGCGAGTCCTCCAACGAAAACTCACAAACACTTTGCAATTTAACATCGCAAAGCTCACATGATGAGACTGACCAAAACATGATGTCGATCTCATCAATTATATAGGAGGTTTGTTCAAGTATCATGTCCTCAAATAAAAAAAACGGCACCAAAATTGCAAAAATTAAATTAAAAATGGCCTAGACTATGGCTGCATGAGGCTTTTTTGTAAGTCTTGGCATGGTACATATGCCTACCAAATTTCATACATGTAGGTGAAACCGCTGGGATGCAAGTGCCTTTTTGAAATTTTCTAGGGGTTGCTGAAACATTACATTTCCTGTCACCACAAGGGAGCGCTATTACTATAACTGAATGTCGGCATGTAGATTTGTTCAGGACTGGATTCTTATCAAATACATAAAGTTTCGGCCTGTTTGGACACTGCCTGCGGGAGTTATAGCAACTTCCTGTTTCATGGCAAATCAACAAACTTCTCCGTGCCGCCATGGGTGGGTTCTCCAATGAAAACTCAAAAGCTTGGCAATTTAACATTGTAAATATCTTAAGACAAGACTGACCAAATATGATGTCGATCTGCTTATTTCCTTAGGAGGAGTTTGTTAAAGCATGACGTCTTTAAATTGCAAAAATTGTAGATTAAATTCAAAATGTCTGACTTCCTGTTGGGTTAAGGGTATGGGTTGTAATGATGTTTTTTGTATGTTTTGGTATGTAACTAGTACCTACCAAGTTTCATGCATGTAGGTGAAACCTAGTGCAATTTTTTGCCACAATAGGGGGCGCTATCAAGCCATTTGGCCACACCCATGTGCAAGACCTATAAAGTATTGAAAAATTAATTATTTTAAACTGAATTTAACCAAAGCTAACAAAAAAAAAGTTTACCTGCACTTGTAGCTACATTTAACATTAAAGGAGCTTTCTGTAAGTTTTGCTGTCGCTACATAGCTAACATTAGCATTAGCAGCTGTTTACTTACCAATCTAGTGGAAATGTTGTGAGTTCAGCATCAAACTTCATTCCTTTACTCGCCAACAGCTGTCTCCAGAGGTGGAAAGAAACAGTCTTGTTTTGCTTCTATTTCTATCACTTCTTTTCTTCTACTGAAGTTAGCATGCTAACCAGCTAGCCCCAGCCCCGTCGAACCGTCTCATCACTTCCCTGCTAGTCTTTGTATTAAACTGACAACCTTTTAGTAACAATCTCACTCTGGTGCAAATCTTGGCATCAATCAAGATTTATTTCTAAAATAATAAAGGAGTTGTTTGTAAGTTTTTTGCTTTTGCTACATAGCTAATGTTAGCATTAGCAGCTGTTTACTGACCAGTCTAAAAGAAACCTGAGTTCAGAATCAAGAGTCTCTCGTGAGGTGGGAACAAACACCAATGTTTCTCTCTTGTTCGTGGTGCTGGATCACCCTGGATCGGATTGGTTGACGTCTCTGTGACATCATAGGTCAATTTGTGACTTCCATCAAATCTCCTTCATGTATTCTAATTGCAAAATTCTTTATCCGCCAACAAAAATTTGCCAGATCAAGTCTTAAATTTTCCCCATTTCTCTTAGAACTAAATTTTCTTATCAAATCAAAATTTAATGAACAACGAAAAAAGTAAGAAGCTTTTGTCAATTATAGAATCTTTTTCCCTTTTACCTCTGACTGATTGTTTATGTATTTAATCATGTTCCCATGTCTAATTTTTATTTATGCATTTTTATTTTCGCCTGTTTTACTTATCGTTTAAATGATGATTTTTATGTGCTGTTATATTTTTTGATATATTGGACATGTCCTTTGATCAATAATAAGAAACATTCTGGTGCTGCAGGTGTCCCAGCCGATGAACGGTAAGGATGTGAGCCTGAACCTGGTGCTGACCAGTAAGAGCGGTGACACCAGGCCGCTGTCCGTCAACATCAGCGTCCAGGCCATGAGGTACAACGGCAAACCGGCCGTCAACATCAAGACCGAGGTGAAGGAAGCTACGCTGCAGCCCGGGAAAGGTGAGTCAGCCTCTGATGGACAGGTACCAAACACTGTGTTTCCTGAACCCACTTTAAATCCCCCCGTCCTCGTCCGTCTCCTTCAGATCTGTCCATCCCGGTTCTGGTCCCCTTCTCGTTCTACCACAAACACATGGTGCAGTGTGACAGCTTGAAGATCTCCGCCATCGTCACGGACAAACAGAATCCAGACAACAAGTACCTGGCTGAGGACGACGTTGTGCTGCTGGACCCGCCCATCTCTGTCAAAGTCAGTACAAAAAAACTTTACTCACCTGTCATCTCACCTGTACTCACCTGTACTCACCTGTACTCATCTGTACTCACCTGTCATCTCATCCTGTTACACATAAAGTTTTGTGTTGACATCGTTTAGTCTTTTTCTCTTTCTTCCTGATGCATTATGGGTAGTGTAGTTTCCTACAGGTGGCTGACTCAGTGTCTGTGTGTGTGTGTTCCAGATGTGCAGTCAGGTCAGATTTAACCAGGAGGCGAGAGCGGAGGTGGTTTTCATGAACCCGCTGGAGGAGACGCTGACGGACTGCACTGTGACGCTGTCAGGAAGTGGACTGGTGAGAGAGGAGCAGGAGTTCAGGTCAGTGTGTGTGTGTGTGTGTGTGTGTGTGTGTGTGTGTGTGTGCACGGTAATCAAGGTTGTTGGTTGGTTAAAATAAAGGTGCAAATAACAATTAATTTTCACATATGATTAATTCAGCTGATCTGTTGATGCAGCAGTTTATTGAATGTCAGCAATAATCAGAATTATCTTTTTTATTATCAACAGTATTATCAAGATGACTTCATTTGTTTTAAATCTAAGTGTCTATCTATCTATCTATCTATCTATCTATCTATCTATCTATCTATCTATCTATCTATCTATCTATCTATTTGTTTATCTATCTATCTCTAATAGGTTTCATATATATTTTTTACATATGTTTTTATTTTATGTGTACATACAGTATATTTCATATATGAAAATTCAATACATGTACATATAATACATTTGCGTATGGAAAGTGAGAAAATCATTAACATGCACACACCCTTCAGTAGGAAACCTCCATATAATGTGTGTTATTTACAATCTGCCGATGTTCAAGTTCTTTGTTATTTATTTAGATTTTTAATTTTCTTTATATTTATATTTTGAAAATTATATTAATGTGAACAGTTGGAAATTTAAAAAATGTTTAGATTTCGTACATTTGTAGTTTGTAGATTATTTATCTGACACCAACTTTTCTTAACAGATGAATAAAACAATTAAAATCAAAATACATTGAATAAAATGTTCTGTCGGTTCTGTCAGTGTCGTAAATGTGGAATCTGTGGTGACCCTCTGTGTCTGTCGTTCTTCAGACTTCCAGATTTGCAGCGAAACAGAAGAGTCCGGATCCAGTTCCCGTTTGTTCCCTACAAGACCGGAGAGAAGACTCTGATGGTGGACTTCAACTGCTCCGCCTTCAGGAACCTGAAGACCAGCTGCACCGTCACCGTCAGAGTCTGAATCCTCAGGACCACAGAGTGACAGTCAGGGTTAGGGAATCAGAGGCAGGGATTTCATTTTCTTTTGTTCATATATGAATGAATCTGGTTTAAGAAACCACACACACACACACACACACACACACACACACACACACACACACACACACACACACTTTAACCTGCATGTGGGTAAACTCTCAGCTTTAACCAATCACATCGCTCAACAATAAACACACTTGTGTTTATTGTTTGACCCAGCTGACAGGTCTGACATCACACCTGTAGCACACAGTGGCACAGGTAGTTTCCTGTTGTTAGATGAAGTCAGTGGTGTTATAGCGCCTCCCTGTGGTTCAGAAAATAAAAGACCAGATGCTGTGTCAGCTGGACGATGTCCTGTACAACAACATTGTTTTATGGTTTTAATCTATTGATAAAAAACACAAATATAATATTTATTAAAAGCCCTTTTTGTCTTTAGTAGTAATGATGCAAATCAGAAAAAAAAGAAGCCACTGCTTCAATTTCACATGTATTTAATGACATAATTCCGTTATCTGCTATATAGATGTGTCTTAGTTGTTTTACCTTATAACATGAATATAACAAATTATATAATAAAAATCTTTATTCATTTTCATCTCGTCTTTCTATTGTCTAATTTCATTGTCCTTCTATTCACCCTTGTTCTACTGAACTATTTCATTTTTTATTGTAAAGCACTCACATCTACAGCTAAATCTCTTGTATGAAAAGTGCTCTATAAATAAAGTATTATCATTATTATTATTATTATTATTATTATTATTATTATTTGATACAGTTAGTTGAAATGATTAAAAATGATATTTTCTGCTCAGAAACCGTTTTAACTTTCACTAAATGACTGAAAAGAAACAGCTGCAGGTCAAACAGGTGTCTGTACTTCAACCTGAAACAACGCGAGATTTGCTTCCAAATACCGTCTGTTACCGATTCTCCAAAATAGAAACCGAACAACTGCTGCGCCCCTGTCTGATGTTGCCTTCATGACAGTGGAAAAGATGGTAGAAAACAGTTTTCATCACAAAAAGTAGAGCAGATAGCCTTTTATCAGCAGCGTTTAGATGGTAAATTCTAAAGATTTACTTTTACTTATTGCTCTGTGATGGAGCCACTCAATGGGACAAAATGTAACAGGGGGAATAAAAGTCTCAAGGTTGTGATAAGATAAAATAAGAAAAGATAAGACAAGATAAGATCAAATACTCCTTTATTAGTCCCACTGAGGAAATTTGCAGTGTCACAGCAGCAAAGTGACAGTACAAAGAAAGAAATACAAAATAACAATATCAAATACTACAAATAAAAAAAGATAAATGATAGATTATGAAAAGGTACAAGTCAGATTTTTAAATATAGCAGAAATAGAAGCAGTAATATTGTACAGTTGGTGTATGTTAATTATTGGACGTGGTGAGTTTACAACTGAAGTGTGTCAACTAATCACACTATTTCCTATGATCATATATCAATACCAAATACAATGATCAGAAACTAAATTATATGGTTCTTTCTAGGAAAATGGAAAAATAAAGAACTACAATAACACTTCTTATGGAAGCGTAATACATTCACTTGAGAGAAAAAATTCTGCTCTGTTTTTCTGAATAAATGAGATAATTATTATAATTAACTTTAACCTTTAAAGAAAACTTTTATCAATTTGAAATAATTATCAAAAATAGAACAGGATTTTTGTTGTTTTAAAAAAAACGTTTTCCCAAAAAATACTTACTTTTACTTTAATAGCACTTGTAATTCAGGACTTCCAGTTGTAATGTAGTATTTTAGCATTGTGTTATGGCCACTTACTTGCATAAAGGATTAATGAATAATTAATTAAGAATAATTATACCTCCACTGCCTCTTTCTCTGTCTCAGATCATACAATTTTGGCTGCCAGAGGGGGCACTGTGCTAATATAAAAAATTCCTACACTTTCCACAGCACATGAACGCATCTTAAAAACGAAGCGAAACCGATACAGTAAGAGTCCTCCCCTCACCTCACCCCCCACCCACCCGGAGAAGTTACTGGAGCCAGCCGGTAAGTCCCTCGTCTCCCCCTCCACACAAACCCCCACACAGGCAGAGGAGAGCGGCGTGGGACCGAAGGAGCAGGAGGGTAATGTCAGTGTTACCGGTGGACACAGACGGGTTCAGGAGCCGGTAGTATTCCAGACGTTTCCACCTTCAGTGCCGCAAAGAGGAGGAGGACTTAATCCGCTGTGTCGTTCCCTCAGACCGGGCAGCCGGTGAGAAGTGCAGCCTCATAACTTTAGCACTGCTAGCAGCGGATGTACGGTTAGCCTGCTGCTAAACTAGCCTAGCTTGAGGCACCATTCGAATGCCACTCGAATTAGCAGAACTTAGCTAGCGAGCTAACTCAACTAATAACCGACACATGAGTGGAGGTAACACTTATTATAACGAAAGATAAGGCGGGGACGTAGTCCAAATCCGTCTCTTTCTCTCTTTCTCTCTCGCTTTTCTTTTTTTTTTTTTAACGTAAACATGTAGCTAGTTTCTGTTATAAAGCTAGCCGGCTATAGCAACTGTTAGCAGCTAGGTCACCAGGCTGCTACACACCTAGTTAAGCTAACGTATACAGTGGATGAGCAGGTGTGTGACTATGTAACCAGGACTGAAAGACAAACATTGATAATTTATGTTGATGACATCATTAATTAATTGTTATTTGTACAGATAGTTATCATTTTATTAGCTAGCTAAAGTGACAACCCTGTAATAAATCCTGTTTTCATTAAAGATATGAAGATCAATGTTTTTGAATAAAGGTTGTTTGAACTTATGGAGGGTTTAGTGAATATTATTAACTTTAGTACAGCACAAACTACAGGCTATAAAAGTACCCCAGAGGTATTAACACTGTTCACTGAGTGGATCCTAAGCATGACATAACCATATTTTATAAGGGTCCATGTTAAACTCAGCCACCAGTACCTGTCTTCTGTAAAGACTGTATTTGTTCTCAAGGCTCCAACTAATAATTACTTTCATTATCAGTTTCTCAATTAATTGATTCATTTTTGTCTATTTCATGTCAGAGAACAGTGAAAGATGACTTCTGTAATTCTCCAAAGCCCAAGATGACGTGTTAACTTTGCTTTTTTTAATCTCAAAATATTCAGTTTGCAGTCAGATATGATAAAGATATGATGGATATCATCTGTCTCGTCACATTAGAGAAGCTTTAACCAGCAGCTGTTTGGAGTCTTGGAAGTAAACAGTTAATTGATTATCAAGATAGTTGCTGATTAATTTTCTGTTGACTAACTAGTTGGTTAATTGACTGATTGTTGAAGCTCTAATTTGTGGGACACAACATTTGACTCAGCTGTAGTTCTTGTGTGTAGTTATACTTTTGTTTAAATCCAACACAAGTGTGTTTAAATATATACATATTTTTAACATACATGCATCTTTTATTGTATCCAGATTTGTGTTAGATGTTTTTGCTTTTATGCTTCTGTCTTTCACTTTGGATCAGTATTGGTATGAGTGTCAGGATCCCTCATGTTTAATCAGATCTTTGGGTGTCACAAAATTAAACTAACACAGTTTTGGCCTGTGGATTTAAAAATGTTCAGAATTCAGAATTTGGTATCAGTGACAACCACGTTTGTTTTAAACAAATGAAACTGGATCTTTAACAAACACAGAAAAAAGATCCCAGATCCTTTTGTGTTGGGAGCCAGAACGAGTTTTTCCCTCACAACAAATCTTAATTTCCCACGTGTACCGCGTCACTGAACATGGAGGCAGAAGGTCGACATCCGTGTGGTATTCATGCACAGCTAGTAACTCTGTGTTTCCTCTCGTCAGATAAACGGCTAAGAAGCAGAGATGCCTCCGAAACAGAAGTCCCGCTCCTGGACTGAGCTGAAACAAGCCGGAAATGAATGTTTCAAGACGGGTCAGTACGGAGAGGCCACCAGTCTGTACAGCCAGGCCATCAGAGAGCTGGAGAAGTCCAGTGAGTATCACCTGAGGACGCACAGTGTCGACACAGGAAGCTGACACAGTCCGTGGAGCCCTCTGTGAATGTGATATCTGATGAAGCATGAAATCGTAACATCTGCACATTAATGTCAAATCATACTTTTATCTATTAACCGCGTCCATGTGAACAGGTGAGGTGAATGCTAACGGCTCGCAGTGTAAACTCAACCAGCAGTTCATGGTACATTTATGGAAACAGAATCAGAATCAGGTTTGTTGCCAAGGAGGTTTTCAGGAATTTGATTTGTTATTTTGGTTCTTAACAATAAAGAAGGAAAGATAAAATATAAATATTAATGATTAAAAATAAATAGATTTTTTTCAATAAAGTATTTACCATAAAATATGTAAATAACACAAAAGACGACATCACATTAAACATAGAAAGATTATTACATTATTACAGACAAAAATATCCTGTAACATCAGTCACCGGTAAAACATTTGTACCTGACTCTGTTTTCTGTTGTTGTGATCTGCAGCTTTAAAACTGAAAATACATGTGTGGTTCATGTGTCCCTCCCTCTCTCACCCTCTGTCTCTCTGTCTCACCCTCTGTCTCTCTGTCTCACCCTCTGTCTCTCCCTCTGTCCCTCTGTCTCTCTGTCTCACCCTCTGTCTCTCCCTCTCTCTCCCTCTGTCTCTCTGTCTCACCCTCTGTCTCTCTGTCTCACCCTCTGTCTCTCCCTCTGTCCCTCTGTCTCTCTGTCTCACCCTCTGTCTCTCTCTCTCTCCCACTCTCACTCTCTGTCTCTCCCTCTCTCTCCCTCTGTCTCTCCCTCTCCCTCCCTCTCTCTCCCTCTGTCTCTCTGTCTCACCCTCTGTCTCTCCCTTTCTCTCTCTCTGTCTCTCTGTCTCACCCTCTGTCTCTCCCTTTCTCTCTCTCTGTCTCTCCCTCTCTCTCCCTCTGTCTCTCTGTCTCACCCTCTGTCTCTCTGTCTCTCTCTCTCTCCCACTCTCACTCTCTGTCTCTCCCTCTCTCTCCCTCTGTCTCTCCCTCTCTCTCCCTCTCTCTCCCTCTCTCTCTCCCTCTCTCCCTCTCTCTCTCCCTCTCCCCCTCTCTCTCTCTCTCTCGCTCTCTCTCTCTCTCTCTCTCTCTCTCTCTCTCTCTCTCCCTGCACTTCCTGTCTGTCTCTCTGTCTCCACTGGCACTATTTAATAAAGTGGCCAAAAAACAAAATCAAACAAACAATNCCCTCTGTCTCTCTCTCTCTCCCACTCTCACTCTCTGTCTCTCCCTCTCTCTCCCTCTGTCTCTCCCTCTCCCTCCCTCTCTCTCCCTCTGTCTCTCTGTCTCACCCTCTGTCTCTCCCTTTCTCTCTCTCTGTCTCACCCTCTGTCTCTCCCTTTCTCTCTCTCTGTCTCTCCCTCTCTCTCCCTCTGTCTCTCTGTCTCACCCTCTGTCTCTCTGTCTCTCTCTCTCTCCCACTCTCACTCTCTGTCTCTCCCTCTCTCTCCCTCTGTCTCTCCCTCTCTCTCCCTCTCTCTCCCTCTGTCTCTCCCTCTCTCACCCTCGGTCTCTCCCTCTCTCACCCTCTGTCCCTCTGTCTCTCCCTCTCTCTCCCTCTCTCTCCCTCTGTCCCTCTGTCTCTCCCTCTGTCCCTCTCTCCCCCTTTCTCTCTCCCTCTCTCCCCCTTTCTCTCTCCCTCTCTCCCTCCGTGGTGAAATGTTCAACACTGTGATTTCCTGTGAAGATAAAAAGAGTCCGGAGGATCTGGGGATCTTGTACTCGAACCGAGCAGCCGGATACTTGAAGGATGGAAACTGTGGGGAATGTGTCAAAGACTGCAGCATGTAAGTGCTTTTATTTTAGAGTCTGTGATTTTCATCTGTCAGGATTTGTGTAAATTGAAGTTTCTGAACTTTGTCTTGATGCTGGTCATTTTGATAATCTGATTTTTTTCTTTAATCTTACACTATCAGACTTACAGTCCCACATTTATCTATAAGGTCCACTGTAGTCAGTGTCCAGATCTCCGTCACAGCAGCAACAGTTACGCACAGTCACTTCCTCTTTAGGTATTTTCCCTAAAAAAAAATGAAAAGTGCAAGAAAGCTGTTTTTTTTTTTTTTTTTTTGTCTTTCAGCGATGCTTTATTTCAAGTTATTCTGAGCTTTTATTCTGACAAGTTCTGACAGGAAGTTCCAAAGGTTCTGTTGTTCCCTTGACAAAGGCCAAACTTACCTGCCGACCCCTGGTCGACAGAGTCGGTTGAACTTTAGTCCTGATATTAAGAACCGGTCTGACTGTGGTCTGGCCCTGTGTTGTGTCAGGTCTCTGGAGTTGTATCCGTTCAACGTGAAGTCTCTGCTGCGTCGTGCTGCAGCCAGTGAAGCTCTGGAGCGCTACAGGCAGGCCTACGTGGACTACAAGACCGCCCTGCAGATCGACTGCAACATCGCAGCCGCTCACGACGGCACCAACAGGTACCTGTTCTACAGGCCGACCGCTTCAGGTCAGAGGTCAGAGGTCAGGAGTCAGAGGCCCGTCAAACGAACACACAACAAACGAGAGTTTCAGATTCATCGACTCTGTAGAGGACTATCAGTAAAGATCTGGAGACAGATAGTTTGGTTTATAATTATGATTTCAGTCAGTATCACAACAAACTAAGGCCAAACAAGAGAAATGCACTGGCCTCCACTAAGTCATGATGATACTGACAATTACAGCACATTTAACTTCTGACAACGCTGACATGAACATTGATTTCTAACCTCCGTCTTCATACATGTTAATATGAGCGACTGTTCAGGCCGATCATGTTTGTGTTTAGAAAAATGAGCATGTGACGCGGTCTGGATGAAGACGGGAGCGCAGGGTCTGTTTACAGTGAGTTCAGCCGGGGCAAACACTCTTTCTGACGCACAGATGTTGTGGACACACACAAGTACGCCGTTTCTAATTTTGCAAGTCTGGGATATTTGTTTTGGTTGGTTTTCCACCAGTCCGGGGCGTGGATGTGGAGAGGGGGGCGCTTGTCCAGGCAGCATTGATTTAGTTGAGGAGCTGCGTTTCCACGCTGCGATACTCTACAGCCTGTTCCATCACCGGCCGCTAGTAAAAAAAAAAAAACTGGGAAATTACAGTTTTTAAATCAACATGATTTTAGTGGCTAAGCCTAAAACTTGAAGTCGCCGAGCGGCTGCATAGACGAGTGGGTTTAAATGATGCGCTCACCGTTCTTAACCAGCGGCTGATGTTTAGTGGAAATATTGTTCTTATTGTTTCTGATACAAATTTATGTCTATCCGTTGTCGTCCATAAAACATAAACAGGAATCCATCAGTCAGTGTCCATAAACATCCAAACGACAACAGATTTCAACCTATAGGTGCAGCATACCTGGAGTGACATGGTGCAGTGTTGCAATGAAAGGTTCCTACCCATATTGTCTGACCCACAATAGTGACACCCACTGGCCCAACTGGAATCCCACATACATTTATAACAGAAATGGCTCCTGTAATGATAGTCATATAAATGATTATTATTTTTTGGTAATGGTGCATGTGTCTGTGCCGCGCTGCTCGGGACAGGATGTCTGGTTCTGTTCACGTGATTCTGCAGACGACACATTAATCTTTCTAAAAACAAAACATGAGAATAGAGTGAATGTATCAATAATTTTCTCAATGCTGCACTTTACTGGATCTTTATTTTATCATATTATTTATTTCTTATTGTAAACCTTCTGAAGCACTTTAAGTCTTGTTAGTAGATTAATAGATCATTAACACCTATGACTTGGGTATGATTTTTTTCTTGTTTAGAAATGAGTCTTTCTGTGAATTTCATCCAGTTTGCTGCTGGGTTACAAGTTCACAAGTTAAATTCATAATTGAATCGAACGGATCCAATGTTTTTTTCACTGTACTGAAAACATACAGAAACAGGTGTGTACTGAAACCGTTACACCTCTAATGTCTAAGAATCCTTTTCCCATCTTCAAACCAAGAGCCATGAAACCAAAACCAGAATCAGCTCAGATTTAACTTGATAACAAACATGAATCTGTGTCTGTGAGTCTGTGGTAGTTGGACTTCCTGTTTCCTCACTGTTGACTTTAGATGATGTGATTCACTTTGGTTCACTTTGACATTAACCCTGTGTGCCACCTCTTGTTTGTCAGGATGACGAAGGCGCTCACAGAGACAGACGGTCCCTCGTGGAGAGAGAAGCTTCCTCCCATCCCCACAGTCCCTCTGTCTGTCAGAGAGAAACTCACCCAGCAGCCCACAGCCAACACCCCAAAACCAAACCCGGCTCCACAACACAACGGCACCACACCGACCAACAGACCTGGTGAGGAGACGCATGTTCATTCAGGGAACTGGATCTGTCGTGTTTATTTAGCTGAAATCCCCTCGTTTGTTTCAGCAGAGTCATTTAAGCTTCTGTATATTAATGTTTTATATCCTCCTCCTCCTCCTCCTCTCCTCCTCAGCTCCCAGTGATAAAGACGTAAAGAAAGGCCAGGCCCTGAAAGAAGAAGGCAACGCTCTGGTGAAGAAAGGAGAATATAAGAAGGCCATAGAGAAATACAGCCAGAGCCTCAAACACAACCCCAGCGAGGTCACCACCTACACCAACAGGTGGGTCGGCTCCTCTCTCCTACATCAACTGTGACTGAGTGTGAGGCAGCAGCCAATCAGAATCCTCCTTCAGGTTTAGTTTCCTGCTGTAATTAAGCTCTAACAGTATATTGCAAATTAAAATTTAAAAATAATATCTAACGTGAATTCTTCAGGTCTAAATGTTTGAAACTGAAACAGCTGATTTAGTTTTAAGATAATTAATTAAATCATTTTAAAATATAAATATAAAATAAGGCTCCAATTAAAAGGTTTAAAAGTAATTAATAGATGAATGGTTGAAGATTAATAAATCAATTATTAGTGTTTTATAGATCAGTTATTAACCATTCATAGGAACGACTCTTCTCCACCTCGACACTTTTCTTTTTAATTCATTAAATTTATTTTTTATTTGTATTTAATTTCATCAGGAAGTCACACTGAGATGGAGATCTCATTTACAAGTGAGAACTGAGTACAGAAAATAAAGTAGAATAACCTTACAACTGCTCAATGGGTTATTGTAGATCTATTAATGAATTATAATACTTTATAATTACAGGTGACAGACAACCTTCTGCTGATGAATGTTTGTTTTCAGGGCTGAGGTTTTTTTTGAAACAGTGTTTAAACCGTTGTATCAATAAATAATAATAATAAAAATGCCAGGTTAAAAGTTAAAGCTCCATATTTTCTTCTTCTGTGTTTTATTTGAAGTGTTGATCCATCAGAAGATATAAAAACCATCTCAGTGTAGTTTCACATCTCCTCTCTCAGGCTTCTCTCTGGAGCTCTAGTAACAACAGGTCGGTGAGCCAATCAGAAGAGAGGAGGCTCTGAGCCTCTCTTCTGATTGGCTGACTGTTTTCTGAGTGATCCAATAAAAATAAAGCAGATTTCAGGTTAAAAACACTCAGAGAAACCAAATCCTGTAAAGGTTTGGATGGTGGGTCCAGGTGGGCGGGGCTTGGTGACTGCTTTGTTGTGACATCACAAAGTTCCAGAAGTCCTGACGGCTGGTTTTAAGGCTCAGTTTCTGAATACAGGCTGTGTGCATTTCTCTGTGGACTGAGGCTTTGATACTTTCACAGTATTAATATAGAAGCTAGAGCTGATCTATAATCAATAAATAATCATTATAATCAATCATACCTTTAGACTATATGGAGATTTAACACAGCATCAAAGTCTGTATATCAGAGCAACATAATACATTCTAGCTGAAACACTGATGTTTGTTGTGTGTGTGTGTGTGTGTGTGTGTGCGTGTGCGTGTGCGTGTGTGTGCGTGCGTGTGCAGGGCTCTGTGTTACCTGTCAGTGAAGCAGTACACAGACGCCGTCAGAGACTGTGACGAGGCTCTGATGATTGACAGCAGCAACATCAAGGCTCTCTACAGGAGGGCTCAGGCTCAGAAGGAGCTCAAGGTGAGTCCTCATCACTGATTCTCACACTGACCAATCACACGTCAGCTTCATTCTGTCTGTCTGCAGGTTGAGAAAATAAAAGCATTTCCTGCCTCGATAATTGCTGATGTTTCCTCTGGCAGCTGCTCATCAGTATTCAACACACAGAGAGCTCAATAGTGTGTGTGTGTTTGTGTTTGTGTTTGTGTTTGTGTGTGTGTGTGTGTGTGTGTGTGTGTGTGTGTGTGTGTGTGTGTGTGTGTTTGTTTGTTTTTTAGCNATAGTGTGTGTGTGTTTGTGTTTGTGTTTGTGTTTGTGTGTGTGTGTGTGTGTGTGTGTGTGTGTGTGTGTGTGTGTGTACACAGTCAGACAGGTTGTTTACCTCTTTATCTTTGTATTAAGTCTAAAACTAGCTTCAGTTCAGAAGCTTTTCTCAGTAACTACATATTTGTCACTAACAATGAAAGTTAAAGCTCTGATTTATTTTTAACAGTGAAGAATTGATCTGATCAGCTCCATCAGGTGGAGGAGGTATGTGGGTGTGGTTTGAAGATCCCTCACCTGTTATCAGATCTGATTCACAGATCTCTAAACTCTGATTGGTGTGCAGAGTCACATGACTTCACCTCCTGAGTTCCTGTTAAACAGGAAGAAGAGCAGACAGAAAGTCAGAGAAAATCTCCAGATTCTAAAAAACAAACCTGTTCAGAGGAAGTTGTTGGTTCATGTACGAGCTCTTCACTGACACATGAGGCCTTTAACATGTGATGTTCATGTGGAAACATTCATGTTAATGAGTCCAAGTTCACGAAACAGCTGGAAATGAAAATCAGTGCTCTGGGTCCAGGTCTTGACTGTACTGTCGGTTAAGGTCTTGACTCTACTCTGGGTCCAGGTCTTTACTGTGCTCTGGGTCCAGGTCTGGACTCTACTCTGGGTCCAGGTCTGGACTGTTCTCTGGGTCCAGGTCTTGACTCTACTCTGGGTCCAGGTCTGGACTGTTCTCTGGGTCAACGTCTTGACTCTACTCTGGGTCCAGGTCTTGACTGTGCTCTGGGTCTAGGTCTTGACTCTACTCTGGGTCCAGGTCTTTACTGTGCTCTGGGTCCAGGTCTTTACTGTGCTCTGGGTCCAGGTCTGGACTGTTCTCTGGGTCCAGGTCTGGACTCTACTCTGGGTCCAGGTCTTGACTGTACTGTCGGTTAAGGTCTTGACTGTGCTCTGGGTCCAGGTCTTGACTCTACTCTGGGTCCAGGTCTTGACTGTACTGTAGGTCCAGGTCTTGACTGTGCTCTGGGTCTAGGTCTTGACTGTACTGTAGGTCCAGGTCTTGACTGTGCTCTGTTTGTCCTCCAGGACCTCAGGTCCTGTGTGGAGGACCTGAACCGCCTCCTCGGAGTGGAACCAAAGAACTCGGCCGCCCTGAAGCTGCTGCAGGAAGTGCAGAAGAAGAAGTGACGACATGTTGGGGAATGAGGAGGAGGCGGCGGTGAGGAGCTGACGCTGCGCTGAGCTCAGAGTCATGTGACAGGAAGTGACACGAGTCAGCTGAGCCTGTCTCTCAGCTCCTTCAGCCTGTTTACTCTAAACATGAGCTCTTATTGGTGGATGGAGCAGGGGGTGTGTCAGGAAGATGTTTGTGTTTTACCAGTTTTAGTTTGAAATTATTGACACATAATAACAATAATAACCAACAATAAACCTTCATCATCATGTGATACTATGAAGATGAGCAGCTGATCAACCTTCACATAATCTCAACTCAAGGTACACTTTCTCACTTTTTCATGCTGTCTTCATCGAGGGATGGAACAGTGGCGGCCATCTTTGAACAACTTCCCGTTACCAAGTTTAGTACTCTGAGCTGAACCAGAATCCAGAATCCAGTCCACATCCTGATTCTACTGAGTCTAGACTTCACACCAACACAACAGCAGGTGATGATGTCACAGGTGATGATGTCACATGTTCACCAGCTCCAGTTAAACTTCACAGACACAAAAGCAAAATGTCTGAGGTTAAAACTTTATCTTCCTGGAGCTGATTCTTAACAAGACTTTTTTTTTTTCAGTACTAATTGTTTCAAATCAATTTAAACAGAAACAAAATGAAAACACATTTAGTTTTACTTTAGTTTTATTTTTCAGCTCGGTCTCTCTAAACAGCCAATCAGCAGCTTTAGTAGCTGTTGGTGCAAGCATGATGCATTCTGATTGGCTCCATGAGATTTACTCATTTACTCCTGAGAAATTGATCCTTGATAGAAACAAACCAATTCAGTCCATTAATGTATTGATGATTGATACGTGAGCATCAGCTTGTAGAGTCAGTGTGTCGTCTGGATGAGACTCATGAGATGTTGAGTTGATCATATTTTGCCTCTAAACATTTTCAGCTCATGTTTAAATTAAACACGCTGCTGATAAATGAGTCAAAGTTTGAGACGTTAAACGTGTCGGACGTCTGGAAATTTGTGATGAACTCTACAAAGGAAATCAATGCAGCTGATCAGGTTCCAGGTGGGAGGGGCCAATATTGATCCAGTAATGAAACCACTTTCACAGTCATTGATATCATGATAGAAAATTATGATCATATAATTTAATATCACTGATATCAATGTATATATTATGATACAGAGACATTTCTGTAAAATCAATTGATAAAGGATCAATAAATCCAGAGATCAAAGGAATATCTATGATCATACATCAACGCTGGTTCTGGGTCAATTAACAGTTACATAAATGAGAATTAAAAATCGATCTCTGTCCTCTCGTTTTATTATCACATAGATTAAACTCAGAAATTGTCACGTTAAAGAAGCTGAAAACAAGAACTGAACAATAGATTAATTATTTAAAATCAGCTCATTATAATATTTGAAAATGTAGTTCTGTAATTCATCTAAACTCTGATGATCCTGAAGGTTTATTGTGTCTGATTCAAATGTTTCCACATGATGTTCTTCACTCAGGTCGTTTATTTATCCTGAATCTGCCCTTGAGTTCTTGTGAGTATTTGTCTCTCAGTGATTGATATTTATGTTCATGCTGCGTTCAGGTGACAGGGAGGAGGAAAGAGACAGGAAATACATTCTGGGTTTTCAAGTCACAGGTTGGATCAGATGTAGAAAAGTTTCCCCATGATTTACAAATCAGAAACTCTGAGGTGACCTGAACGCAGCATCAGACCTGGAGCCTGTTGGATGCAACAGGAAGTGCTCTCACCTTGTTTCCTGCCTTGTTTCAGTCTCTGCTGAGAGTTCATGTTTGAAACCGTCAGGGTCAAAGTATCTTGTTCTGCTTTTCTTCATTTACTTTGTGCTGTCACTTTTTACTTCCTGTTATTTTATTGTGAAACTTCACCTGCAGCTTGGCTCCGTCTCCACCTACCCCAAGTGCCTGTTCACGTTAGTTTGTGTTTTAAAACATCTGGATTCATCGTGAAAGAACATCTCTTCATACTTGCACAGGTAGAGCCGAGAAGCTGCAGAGACCGACCACAGCTGAGATTCTGTTTATCACGTTACTGTTTGTTTATTTGTTTGTCACCCTGCTTCTGTTTTATCTGCAAATAAACAATAAGAATTGAAAATATTTTTTTCTTCTCCACTTTATGCTGGATAAAATCAAAACTATGATGCTACAGCCAGCAGCTGTTTAGCTTAGCTTAGTATAAACAATGGAGACTAGCCAGGCTCTGTACGAAGGTATCTTACAATGCTAAAGATGCAATGCTAATCTCTGAAAAAATGTTCACTGCACTAACCATTCTGTAAAAGATCGTGAAAGGTCAAGGTTAGTGTAACCTCAAAACACTTTTTGCTCAAGACTTCAAAGAGATTATGACAAAATTTAATACAAATGCTTCGTATTTAATATTTTGCGACTGTATGAACTGGCATATAATCTGAAACTAGTCTCAGTGGAGGAGGAGGTGATTGTAGTTATACTTTCCTATGATATGACTTTTTCATGCCTTACTATACTATGACATATCTATACCTTTCTATACAATAACTTTTTCTGCCTTATTATACTATTACATTTTAATGCATTACTATACCATGACTCTTTATACCTTACTCTATACTAATACTATGACTTTTTCATACCTTAATGTACTATACTATGACATTTAATACATCATATTATGACTTTTAATACCATACAATGACTTTTTATACCTTATTTTATTGTGATTTTTTATACCTTACTATACTATGACTTTTTACACCTTATTACATATTACTTTTTAAATCTTACTATACTATGACTTTTAATACCTTATATTATGACTTTTTATGTCTTATTATTACTATTCATTCCTTACTATGACTTTTAATACCTTACTATGACTTTTCATATCTTACTATACTGTGACTTTTTAAACCTTACTATACTATGACTTTTTATACCTTATTACATATGACTTTTTATAGCTTACTATACCATGACTTTTTTATACCCACTATATTATGACTTTTTTATACCTTACAATACTATGACTTTTTATACCTTATTATACTATGACTTTTTCATACCTTACTATACTATGAGTTTTTATATCTTATTATACTATGAATTTTCATACCTTACTATACCATGACTTTTTATGCCTTACAATACTATGACTTTTTCATACATTACTATACTATGACTTTTTATACATTATTATACCATGACTTTTTATGCCTTACTATACTATGACTTTTTAAACCTTACTATATTATGACTTTTTATACCTTACTATCCTATGACTTTTTATAACTTACAATACTGTGACTTTTGCATAAATTACTATATTATGACTTTTTAAAACTTACTATACCATTACTTTTTATAACTTACTATACCATAACTTTTTCACACATTACTATGCTATGACTTTTCATACATTACTATACTATGACTTTTTATTGCTTACTATACTATGACTATTTCATACCTTACTATACTGAGTTTTTATTGCTTACTATACTATGACTTTTTATAGCTTAATGTACTTTGACTTTTAATACCTTATATTATGACTTTTTGTACCTTATTATCACTATTCATTCCTTACTATGACTTTTCATACAGTACTATATGACTTTTTATAGGTTACTATAGTATGACTTTTTATACCTTACTATACTATGACTTTTTCATGCCTTACTATACTATGACTTTTTAAACATTACGATACTATGACTTTTTAAACCTTACTATACTATGACTTTTTAAAACTTACTATACTATGAGTTTTTATAGCTAACTATACTATGACTTTTTATGACTTATTTTATGACTTTTTCATACCTTACTATACTATGACTTTTTCATACCTTACTATACTATGACTTTTTAAACCTTACCATACTGTGACTTTTTATAGCCCACTATATTATAACTTTTTATAGCTTACTATACTATGACTTTTTATTGCTTAATATACTATGACTTTCTCATACATCACTATACTATGACTTTTTCAGACCTTATAGTATGACTTTTTCATACCTTACTATACTATGAGTTTTTATTACTTACTATAGTATGACTTTTTCATACCTTAATATACTATGACTTTTTGAATCTTATTATACTATGACTTTTTATGCCTTGCTATACTATGTCGATTTTGACTTTTTATGCCTTACTATACTATGACTTTTTATGCCTTTTTATGCCTCACTATACCATGACTTTTTGTACCTTACTATACTATGACGTTTTATGCCTTACTATACTGTTGTTTTTATGACTTTTTATGCCTCACTATACTATGACTTTTTATGCCTTACTCTACTATGATATTTTTATGACTTTTTATACCTTACTATAGTATGACTTTTTATGCCTTACTATACTATGTGGTTTTTATGACTTTTTATGCCTTACTATATTATGACTTTTTTTTTCTTACTATAATATGACATTTTAATGACTTTTTATGCCTCACTATACAATGACTTTTTATGCCATACTATACTATGACGTTTTTATGACTTTTTATGCCTCACTATACCATGACTTTTTATTCCATACTATACTATGACATTTTTATGACTTTTTATGCCTTACTCTACTATGTCGTTTTTATGACTTTTTATGCCTCACTATACCATAACTTTTTATGCCTCACTATACTATGACGTTTTTATGACTTTTTATGCCTTACTATACTATGACTTTATATGCCTTACTATACTATTACTTTTTTATGACTTTTTATGCCTTACTATACTATCCTGTTTGCATGCCTGTCTGTACTATGTCATTTTCATAATTTTTGATGTGTTACTATAAAATGTCGTTTTTATTCCTTACTATGGTATACCTTTTCTATGACTTTTTATGCCTTACTATACTATGACTTTTTTTTTAGTTTTATGCCTTACTGTTCTATGAATTTTTTGACTTTTTATGCCTTACTATACTATGTCGTTTTTATGACTTTTTTTTTGCCTTACTATACTATGACTTTTTATGCTTTACTATACTATGACTTTTTATACCTTACTATACTATGTCGTTTTATGCCTTACTATACAATGTTGTTTTTATGACTTTTTATGCCTTACTATACTATGTCATTTTTATGACTTTTTATGCCTTACTATTCTATGACTTTTTTATGACTTTTTATGCATTACTATTCTATGTCGTTTTTATGACTTACTATACTATGTCGTTTTTATGACTTTTTGTGCCTTACTATACTATGACTTTTTATGCCTTACTATGCTATGACTTTTTTATGACTTTTTATGACTTTCTATACTATGTCGTTTTAATGACTTTTTATTCCTTACTATGCTATTTCGTTTTTGTGACTTTTTATGCCTTACTATACTATGTTGTTTTTATAACTTTTTATGCCTTACTATACTATTTTGTTTTTATGACTTTTTATGCCTTACTATTCTATGTT